CTAGTTCGAAAACATACCATTAATGTGTCAATAACAGAACATGAAAAAACACAAGTAGATTAAATTATGATCATCCAATAAATTGATTAATAGCAGTCTCACTATATATACTTACTAACTTACTCTTGTTACTCGTGGAGCACGAGCGGCTTCATCATATGTATTCCATACTATATAGTGTAGAGAATGAACACACAGGTGGGTACATTCAAATGCTTTTTGATGTAAAATTACAGAATATCTTAGTAAAATATGAGAACCATACATGAAACATTTCATTTGTAGCTCAGGTGGATTATTTTGTTGGAGTTTTGTCCTCTGTTCTGGATGGTTTGGTCATGAAGCTTTGATTGTTGTTTTGAACGACATCAACAGTACAAAACTTCAATTAGAAGTGAAGTGTTCCAATTTCTTCACATATTACTCACAGCTTGTCCTGTAGACCCCGACAAATATAGAGATAAAAATGAAATCAATGGGAGATACAATCACAATAAAGAAGTAGACAACGACAAGTTAAAGCTCAGCAATCACCAATCAACATCGTGATCTACAGGACAAGCTAGGAGTCATGTATGGAAGAATTATGACAGTTCACTTCTATTTGAAGTTTGTGCTAATGATGTCGTTCAGAAAAACAGTGAAATCTCAAAGACCAAACCATCCAGCTCAGATAACAAAACTCCACCATAACCTTTATAGGCTTTTGCTGCTAGGTTTACCACTTCTGATTGATGTCACATATTACTTATATCTGTCGACATAAGTAGCATACACCACAATAGTAGTGCTCCTCAACTATACATATAAATTAACGCCTAGGAAAAAAACAAACTTTCATGATATATACATAACAGTTATAAATGAATGGTACTTGGAATTATTAATATTGAAATATTGTACTATGATTTTATCAGTTTTCAAATTTTATTGATTTTATCACAATTCCAAATTAAGCTATTCAATATCCACAAAGTTATTCATTGAAATAAGTCTACATCTATATATATGTATAATTAAAAAGGTCAGTCATATGCTTAAATAGTTCTAAAACCACATTACTACCTATACTACTACTATTACTCCTACTACCATCACTACTACTAATTAATAATAGTAGCTCTCTAATATTACTTATATTTTAGTTTAGAAGTAAAAAAACATTTCTTAATTAATCCCATATACAATGAAAAAGTTTAATAGTAATTCTACTTATAATTAATGATTTACTAAGTATACTCATTACACGTGGTTACCTTTTTTTAAAGAAAAATACCATTATTATTATGATTAATGTAGATTTATTGAATTTGACTAATTTTGTAGATCTTAAGTATCTAGTATGTTTTTGGCTTATTCAAACTGAAAATGAAATTAAAGTGAATATTATTTACACAGATTGAAATCATGAGTCAGTTGAAGCTAGAACACCATCGAAAACTTGGAATCACTGGACGGCCGCTTCGTCCTAGTATGGGACCCCCAGCAATGCGCACCCACGATCCCGCACCCCGCGGGACTCGAGCCCAGGACCTACTGGCCTCGCGCGCGAGCACTTAACCGTTAGACCACTGAGCCGGAATCCAACGGTGTTAATGTCTAACTTCAACTAATCCACAAAGTTGCGCCACCATATACCATTGTCTTCAGTGAGCTGATATCTCACAACAGACCTGGTTGTACTCCATTGGTAACGGCTTCCCACTAGAACTCCAGGAGTATCTCTTGGAGTCAGTCACTAGTGAGCAGATGATTATTATCAGAAGGGGTTTGTGAAGATTTTAGAAATTTTCACAGATTGAAATCATGAGTCAGTTGAAGCTAGACCACCATGGAAAACCTGGAGGCACTGGACGGGGTGTGGGATCGCGGATGCGCACTGGTGAGGAGTCCCATACTAGGACGAAACGGCCGTCTAGTGCTTCCAGGTTTCCAATGGTGGTCTAGCTTCAACTGACTCATGATTTCAATCTGTGAAAATTTCTAAAACCTCCACAAACCCCTTCTGAGAATATTATTTAAACATTAAAATAATAGTAACACATTTACTGTGGGATGTACTACTTATATCGATATAAGTAGTATATAAATACTAGTTAGGAATAGAATGTTTAGCAGTAAAAGGTCAGGAAGATCGAGCAAGAAAGAATGGAAACAGAAAGCAATTAGTATGGAAATGCATGAATATTGAGGTTTGGGATGATTGACATTTTGAAAATTAAGTATTCGTTGTATGGGCCTTAGATATTACAAGGATGTTCTGTAATTTTGTGTTTAAATACGTTCGATTGCCCCTAATTGCGTTCTCGTTCACTACACTACAATCAATTTCGACTATGGTTAAGACCTTTTGTTAACTTCCTTGACAGACAATTTTATTCGAGCAGTAAAAATTCGCATATTTCTTTGTGCTATTATGATCACTGTCTTGTCTGTATAAACATGTACGCTTGATCACATGACAGCCTGGGTGCATATCTCTCTCTAGAGTAAATGTTGATAGCTTAAATATTACTCGACGAATCGTTCTTTTTTCCAAGTATATATGTACTGGAATCCTATCATTAGCCTTTGCTTTGCCTTGCTGCGCCCTTATACAATTTGACTATAAATTTGCCTATTTAATTGCTTGTGTATACTTATTCGCCTCTTCGCTTCAAATTCGATCGATGTGTTCATAACTTTATGATCTGTGTTATCCGCCAATAAACTGTAGTTACCGCTTCTTATTACCTTCTGATTTTAAACACCGTTGAGATTTATATCATAAAGGTTATCAAGGTGATTGATTAACAATGCAAAGCCACTACAAAAACACTAAGCAGTAACAATGATTATATTGTATGATTTTCAAAAAAATATCTGTAACAGTGGTAGTATTTGTAAAGATTTTTATTTTTCTGGCTAGCGTTTTTTAGCGATTTAGTTTTCTACGGAATAGGGTCACTAACCCCATGCTCAACCCTCCTCCTTTATCCGAGCCTTGGACCGGCAGTAGCCCCAAATGGGCTACAGGCAAAGTTAAAGGTTTTTATACTTTTCCATTATCTATATGAAGGACTAAAACAAAATGATCAGTCTATATTGGCATATACCCATCTTAAACAGATTGTTTCAATATAACTATTTGTTCGCAAGTATTTATTAAAATTTGATAATGATTAGCAGTAATATTTAGGATGTGAATTTTATTCTATTCGAAATTCATCAGCATCCTATTGATGATGTTCATAATGAGACCCGAAATCAATACCTTCAGATCTAATCATCAAAGTAAATGCATATACATATACACACAGAGATATGAGTATGAATTCTAAAATTTATTAATGATATAAAAATTCTTCTTTTGAATTTTAGTTAATGGTTTATCGACTAATTAACTAAGAGCATATATTTCATGCATGTTAGTAAAGATGTATATGTAGGTATATTTTTTCTTATTTTTTGTAGGAATGTAGTCCCTTCAGCTACACTTTATTGCATTCATATTATATTCATCATTACATCTTGAAATTTAGTAGTTGAGTTCATGAGTCAATTGAAGTCAGACCACCATGTAAAACCTGGAAGCACTGGAAGGCCGTCTCGTCCTATTGTGGGACTCCTAAGCAGTGCGCATCAACCATCCGGCCTCGCGAGATTCGAACTCAGGACCTAACAGTATGGAGCGCAAACGCTTAACCTCTAGACCACTGAGCCGGCCGGCATCCAACGGTGTTCATGTCTAACTTCAACTAATCCACGAAACTGAGCGACACATTCCCCATTGTCATCAGTGAGTTACTATCTCACAACAGACCAAGTTGAACTCCATTGGTCACGACTTCTCATTTGAACTCCAGGATATACCTCTTGAAGCTAGTCACTAGTGAGCATATGTTGATTAGTATCACAAGGGATTTTGTGTATATTATAGTAATGTAAATAGTTGAGATCATGAATCAATTGAAGCTTGATCACCACGGAAAACTTGGAAGTACTGGACAGCCATTTCGTGCTATAGTGAGACTTCTGAGCAGTGCACATCGACGATGCAGCCTGATGAGACTCGAATGCAAGACCTATCAGTCTTGCGCGCGAATGCCTAACCTCTAGACCACTGATTATATAATTATCCGAGGGGTTTTGTGGAGATTGTAGTAATTTCAACAGTTGAGATCATGAGTCAATTGAAGCTGAACTGGCTTCAAGAGATATATCCTGGAGTTATAGTGAGAAGCGGTGACCAGTGGAGTTCAACCGAGTCAGTTGTGAGGTAGTAACTCACAATTGATTGATCACTGGGTGGTGATCAATGTCATGCTTGTCTAGTCCTTATTAGTGCAGATCGAGTGCTATCGATCATGTTGTAATGTGGCCACCAGTCTAGGTGACTCGACACTGCGGGCACTATGTATTGAGATTAGATGGTGGTTGGAGGTAGTCAACAGGAAACCCTGGACCCGGGTTTATTGCTACTTGGCACTCGTCAGTAAGGTGTACCTGTAATCTTGATGGAACTGATGCTCTCTGGCGGATTCGATCTCGTGTCACCCAGTTTCACAGTTAGAGACGTTACCACTGAGTTATCCGAGCCTTGACTGACCTCCTGTAGGACTGAGATGTAATCACAATTGATTGATCACTGGGTGGTGATCAATGTCATGCTTGTCTAGCCCTTATTAGTGCAGATCGAATGCTATCGAACTCACTGATGACAATGGTGGATGTGTCGCTCAATTTCGTAGATTAGTTGAAGTTAAACATTAACACCGTTAGATGCCGGCCAGCACAGTGGTCTAGTTGGTTAAACGCCTGGCGCGAGACTGACAGGTCCTGAGTTCGAATCCCGCGAGGCGGGGTCGTGGATGCGCACTAGCCATCCACTGCTTCCAGGTTTTAAATGGTGGTCTAGCTTCAACTGATTCATGATCTCAACTGTTGAAATATAATTATCCAATTCAATCACACACATATATTTCTATCTATAAAACTATAAAATTACTCACCTTTTATAGATTTAACTACATTATTATTCTATATAAAAGAAAAGAAACCTTATCAAGATTACAATATGCTTCAACCAGATGAACTTGATGCAATAGAAAAATTAAATGAATTATGTGAAAAAGAAGAAAAATTAGATAAACAACCATTTAAAAAAAATCATAAAAATCATCATCATGAACATCATAATAATAATTTATCATCTGTATTTCGTTGTAGTGATACACGTACATTGAAAGCAATAAAAAATGTGTCAAAAGATGAATTCAATACTACTAATACTACTGATACTACTACTACTAATACTACTACTACCAATACTACTAATAATAATCATAATAGTAATATAGACGATAATCATTTAATACCAACTGGTTTACCAAGAATTCAAACAAAAATTACTGTTAAAATATTAAAATATGATTGTTGTATCACAGTAATATTAGATCCAACAACTAAATTAAATACAATTAAAGCAATGTATGATTTAAATGAACAACTTATTATTATTGGTTATCAACGTTTAATTACATTAAAAACATTAGATCATTTACCAATGAAATTTAATGCAATTATTGAACAAAATAATAATTTAAATTATGATTTAACAACATACGTTGAACATAGATATAAAGTAAATTTAAATATGTATTATTTAAATTCAGCGCGTGTAAAACAAAAAAATAATATTGTTTATATTATTATACCGCGGAAAATTTAAATATATACATATTCAATAATAATAATAATAATAATAATAATATGAATATAAACACATATCCTCCTCCCCACCCCTCCTATCTTTTTGTTGTTGCTATGAATGGTATTGAATGATTTCAATGGTTAATGTTGTTACCAAATATGATACATCAATTGAATATTGAACGACAGATGTATTAGAATGGTCAAAGTTCATTTATTTCTTTGTTTTTTTTCTATATATCATACCGCTTGTATATGACATAATTTTCTTTATATTGATTGTTTACATTTCATTAGGTCTTTTTTTGTGGTTGTTAAAATCAAATATGTTGTAATCACTTTTACATCATTATATAAATTGGATTTCGAAAGTGTGTAATTGTCCAATTTCAGATGATAAAAAAACGTTTTTTTTTGTAAAGATCAGTTGTTTTCTTTCTTCTCTCAATATATTCTATCTGAATATGAATTATTTACATACTTATGATTATTACACTTTGTAGAGTACTATAAGCTGCTCACCAACATTATCCATCCAATTTTGTTATAGACAATCTTCTACAGTTGTTTCCAGTTGATATTTATCCTTTTTATGTCTACTTCTAATTCTCTACGTAGTATGTGTATTCTTCGAACTTCCTGTTTTCAGTTTCCCTTCACGATTCCTGGTAGTAAGCGGTTGGTTCGTGTTGCAGTTTGATGATTTCCGTAATGTATGTCATATACACCAACTTCATAGTCTTTTTCTAACTTTCTCCTCATCTGGAAGCTGGTTTGTTATCTCTCACAATAGGTTGTTGCTGATGGTTTTCATACAACGGACACTGGGTATCTCGCGTGGAAAAATGTTCATAAATACTTGTACCTTTTTGATGACGGTTGTGGAAGTTTCAGCTACGTACAGTAGAACTGACTGTGTTGACGCTTATATTGAAGATTGTAACTTTGATATTGGTTGACAGACAGTTGTTTTGAGTTGCGTATTTTGTTTGTTCAATTGTATGAATGCTGTCCTTCCTTTGCCAATCCTCTCCTTTACGTCTGCATCCGATCCTCCTTGTTCATCGATAATGCAGCTAACCAGATATGTGAAAGGTCCCACCTGTTCTGGAGTTTGAATTACTTCTTCTGGTTAGCGTTCTAGTTTCTCCATCAAGTGTGATTACGTTGGTTTTCTATGTGTTGCATTTGAAAGTCATCATTTCTCCCTTGTGTATGTTGAGACTTACTGATACAGATGCTGCTGTTACACTGTTTGTCTTGACCTGCATTTGTTGGTGTGTATGAAATAGAAGAGCCAGGTCATATACGAAGTCAGGATCGTATAGTTCCTTGCAAGCTGTTAATTATATTCTGTGCTTTCCGTCACATGCGGAGGTCTTCATAATCCAGTTAACCAGAGAAAGTGGAGGAGTAGGCAACCTTGTCTGACTTGGAATGCATCTGCAAGCTGCCCTCCATGCATCACTTTACAGTGTAGTCAGTCGTGTGGATTCCGTATGATATTGACGATTTTCTCAGGTACTCCATAGTGTCAAAGAAGTTTCCATAATTCTCTCATCCACATTGTCTAATCCTTTCTCATAATCAAGGAAGTTGATGTACGGTGACGAGCTTCACTCAACTGATTGCTCAACGATAATCTGTAGTTTCGTTATTTGGTCTGTGCACAACCAATTTTTACGGAATCCCGCTTGTTGATCTGGAAGCTGGACGTCTACTGAATCATTCATCCGGTTCAGCAACACTGTTGAAAATGTTTCTTGGTACTGACGGTAGTGTGATTCCTCTATAGTTTTCATACTTGCTCAGATCTCTTTTCTTTGTAATCTTGATGAAATGTCCTTCTTTCCAGTCCGTCGGCAATTGTTGCTCCTCCCAAATCTTCCTGAATAGAATGTGGAGCATGTTTTAAGTTACTTAAATGTCTGACTTGAGTGCTACAGCTGGAATAATGTCTGGTCCTCCTGCTTTCTCGCACTTAATTTGTCTCATGGCCGTGCTGATTTCTTCGATCGTTGATGGAGTGACATCAATAGAAATGTCTGTGTGTGCTACTTCGATGTTGGGTGGATTCAATGAAGCTGGTCTATTCAAGAGTTGTTGAAAGTGTTCTACTTATTCGTTCCTCTGTTTTTGAATCTCGGTGATTGGCTTATCTTCTTTGTCCTTGATCGGTCTCTATGGTTTACCATATTTCCTTACCAGTTTCTTCATTGACACTTAGTTGTCTAATATTTCCTTCTCTTGAAGCCTTTTCTAAGTACTTCTGCTTGTCAGTTCCTTAATTGCTTGTTTGTATATGTGTATTCATCTTTTGCCTTGACTTTCTCTGTTATTGTTCGAATTTGTTGATTACTGTCTTCTTATTCTTCCGTTTGAGGCTTGTCCAGGATTTCCATAGAGATCCATTCCTTAAGATGATGCTTGTTGCGACCCAGAACCTCCTGACACGTTGAAGTTAGTGCTTCTTTGATTCCTTTTCAGTTGGTTTACATCTTAAATTCCAGATCTCTGAGTAGATTTAGTAAGACTTGGAACCTGTTATTGAGAGTTATCTTGAATTAGTTAAGTATTCAGCATCCGGAAAAAAGATTGTATTGAACCTTTGTAATGCTGTTTCTCCATTTGTCTAGTACTTCTTTAGCTTCAGTTTCATCATGAAAACCAACAGTTGGTGGTGATCCGAAGTCATGTAAACTCCATTCTTGCTTCTCACGTCTTCCATTGACCTCCTGAATTTTTTAATGATGCAGATATGATCGATCTGGTTCTGTGTAGTGTGATCCGGTGATACACATGTAGCTTCATCTCTGTGTTTGTGTGGGAATATTGAGTCGCCTATAACCATTTTGTCGAAGGCTTATAAACTTGCAAATCTATCACTATTATCGTTCCTTTCTCCTAGTCCATATCGTTTCATGGTATCTTCATTTCCGAGGTTGTCCATTCCGACTTTCGCGTTTAGGTCTTTCATCAGGATGATCAGGTCCATTCCTGGACACCTCGGTATGACCGATTGCAGCCTGTCATAGAACTGATCTTTATTATCGTTGTTGCTGTTATTGGTGGGTGCATAACATTGGATAACATTCATTGTGATGCTCTCGCTCTTTATTTTGAAGGATGCTCTGACGACTTTTGATCCATGAGACCCATCCTATACGTGCATTACGTGCTTCTCTGGACAGCATGATTACAACTCCTTGAGTGTGTGGAGCATTTTCTTCTTCGTGACCGGATTACAGCAGCATTTCTCCCATATGTAGATTTTACTGTTCAGCTTGGGTACAATGGGTTCCACTGATTCCGAGCACCGTCAAGTTGTATATCCCTATTTAGGCAGTTATTTGATTGGTTCTCTCGGTCTTATATATTGTATGAACGTTCCATGTAATTAGAACGTTTTTGCTGTTGTTGTTGGAAGGGGCATCGGCCTCGTGACTTCCGAAGGATCTAGGTTTTCATCATGAGTCGTCATAATTTTTCCTTCAACTCGGAGTCCAAAATCTGAATTGTTTAATTAATTTTTTTCTAACTAGCGTTTATTTAGCAAGTTCTTTTTTACGCGATGGGGTTGGTGACCCTATGCCCAATCGACCTTTTTTGACTGGGCTCGGGACCAGCAGTAACTCTATAAGAGCTACAGGCAGAGTTGTAGATATGAATTATTGAAGTGCTATCTTGTAATCAGTCAGTCAGTAACAACGTAGAACTTCGTACATACGTGCATCAGTTCGAGTTACCATACCACATTAGCACACAGTTAGAATTGTTCATTCAAATCCCATAGTGGTAGAGGTAGTAATAGTATAAGCAGTAATCGGAAACATTACGGTTTCAAGATGTTATTCAACCAGTATAATCCAGTGAAATAAATTTGGAAAGACGAAAAACAAGGGACATGAAGAATTCAGAATATTTGAATTTAGAAGAACACAAGGAGTAGATGCACCTATTCCATTGCAAACCATTTTGAGCCATGTCATTCAAGGTCTCTAACCATCGGTTGCTATCATCTCGCGGATCCCAACCAGGTAGTTTACACCTACCAACATGGCTCAGTCCACTCGTTAGTGACTTCATGGATTTGTGCCATGTTTTGATCTGGCCGCCCCTAGCTTTCTTCCATCCTACTCCCCTTCACCATAAAACATCGCACATCGGGGCAGTCGGTCGTTGGGCATACGTAACACGTGTCCCAGCCATTTCAACTGATGAAGTTTCACTACTTCATCAACTGATTTGCCATCCTTACCTAGTACTCGTTTCCTAACAACTGCGTTACTTACTCGATGGTACCAGGATATACGAGGAATGTTTCGAAGACATCTATGATCAAATACTAGTAACCTACGAATATCTTCTGTTATTACCGGCCATGTTTCACAGTCATAAATTAGGACGTAACGGACTGCTGAGCAGTAAACACATCCTTTGGTTGGTGTCGGATATCTCACCTACGCCATAAATGACGCAAGTTGGCAATAGTTGCCTAACTTTCATTACTAATGGAGTTAGATTCTACCATTTGGTCCTCATTATAAAACAAAAGCATACAATATAAACCTTTACATTCAACTAATTTTTAGGAAACAATTATGTTCAGAGAACTAGGAATATTTTAAAAAGTGCTGTTCAATTTGGTAGTTTAAAAGAATTTGAAGTAATATATGACCGCTAGGAAGTCGAATTCGAAGTTAACAGAATATGTCCTACTTTGATTAAGAAATGACCTTTTAGTATTCATATTTATTTCTAAAATATCTTCATGGTGGTTATATTGATTTAAACAAAACAAGAATTGTGTACACAGAAAGTTTACGCACAAATTTTAAACTTATAATTGACTAACTAAAAGTTCATCTATGTAACCCTCCACATTTGACTGTTTATGACACAACTAGACCATGAACTATAAATCTTATGCGAAACAACGAAATGTAATGACAAGTTATTGTATAGATAGTTTATCTAAAAATTATGGTCTTATTTATTAACATCTCCGTTCAGTCCTATAAAAACAGTACATTGAATAAATTGAAATACAAAGAGGATAGCACAAAAAGGGCATATCGATGACCATTATGGATTTAGCACTTAAGAGAATGGATGTATTATCGCACGGCATTCGTAATTAAAAATAATGAACCCATGTTGAAACAGAGATATCACTCCAGTGTCCGTAAAACATCTATTATTCATGAAGGGTGGTCGCAGTTTAGAAAACATAATCTTTGTTTCGGTAAAAAAAACCAATACAATATGTGTCACTTGTGATTGTTTGTATTGATTTGCATATATATACATTGATTCTTAACGTTTATAAATAATCTACAGAATACGTGAGCATAGTGAACCATTATGATTTCATTTTAAGGGGAGACTATAATTCATGGACGAACCAATCACGTATAAGATAACAGGTCTCGGATTTTGGTGCGACATTCACTGATCCATTTTAGTAAATACAGTCTTGACATTATAGCTGTTGTCAGTTAGTGATGAAAACCCTAAATTGAATTCCTTACCTTAACCACCAACTGTAAATCATAATTTTAATTCCTCACACTAATTTATAACCATCATTTGGTCCTAGTTATTACGTGGATACTGTCAAGGTCACTTTAGCATCACTCAAAGATCGTCCATAAATTATAGTTCCACCCATTTTAATTTGTGTTTTTTGATATCTTAACTGAGATTTGGTTAGTTTTAGTTGGAATGCAGTTACACATAGCTGATAAGTTTAAAGTAGCACGAAATGCAAGCTGTGAGTTGCACTACAATCAAGATTCCATTTATTCTATGAATTATTATGATTTTTATTGAAACATGATTTAAATTGCCCAGAAAAACCGTAAGATATTGAGTGATTTTTGTACTGAAAAACTCAAGAGGTTCAGAGACATCTATGAGGATTGAAAGAACCATAGGATCCTATTTCGATAGAAATAATGTGCATGAGATAGCTTATGTTTTCCAGTTGTAAGACAAGTAATGATGAGGCGAGTGAATAGTTTATTTCAGTGGAAATGATTCGAATCTAAACAATGATGTGCTGTCACAAACGGAGAATATTCAGTAGGGGGTTCGCTCACGAGACTGAAGGCCCTGAGTTCGAATCCCGCGGAGCGGGATCATGGACGCGCACTGCTGAGGAGTCCCACAATAGGACGAAACGGCCGTCCAGTGCTTCCAGGTTTACAACGGTGGTCTAACAGAAATCGGTTCATGATCTCAATCAAAAAATTAGTGTACCCTGGAATGTTTATAACCTTAATAAGTATATTTATCAGACAAATTACTAAGAAAATTCAGTCAATCATTAACAACATTGAACTTAGTCCACGTTATCACACCTCATGTCATTTCAACAACAAGAAATCAACATGATGAGTAATAATGTCTAAACATGAGAACTACAGTCCAAAAGGAAACATTACAAATAAAAGTTAGATATTTAAGGTAGAAAATGTATACAACTTTATCATTATGACTGATTCCACTCTATATCACATCTAATCACAGATTATAAACACTTTTTTTAATTTCGGGTCTTACTCAAACAGTCTATATTTACTAATATAGATTAAACAATACAAGAAACGGCACATAGACAATACAAAGATAAAATCATTTATTTCTGATAATATAATTGAATAACAAACAACAAGAATGTTAAGCATTAAGTAGAAAAAAAGGGAGAATGAAAACCATTTCATCAAACAAACTGTAAACACACACACAAAAAAAGAAACAAACCTATGTGCGCATAGATACCTATGAATAAATAGGAGAAAACAAAATACATATATATGCATATCACATAGTTTATTTGTAATTCAAATGGAGAAAAACAAACAAACTTGCATGTGTGTGTGTGAGTGTGTATATATATGTATAATAATATATAAGACCAGAAAAACAAACAAAGAGTACATTCAGCATAGTGTTTATATGAAATTAATTCTTTAATACAAATAGAAAACATTCTTTCATTCCATCTTTAGAATTGCAGAAAAAAAGAAAGAAAAAAGAAAGAAAGAAAAGAGATAATAAATTGTAATGAATATATTTGATTGTAATAAAATGTAGACGATTTGTATCAATCGTTTATCTTGACAACTATCATTTACACACTGATATAATAATACCTAAATCGGTAGATAGATAGGCAGATAGACAGACAGAAATGAAAGTGAACAAAAGATGGAAAGGCGAAGTAACTAAGATGGAAACCAAAAGATAAAAACAAACAAACAAACCATTACTTTCACTACATAAAGCATAAATGAATAGACCCGGTAAATCTATATTTCTATGCATATTATTGTAATATACGATAATCAACAATAAATGATAACCAAACAATAAAAGTTTTCTTTGAAGCATATATATATTTATCATTGAAATTGTTTGTAAAAAAATAAATAAATATTTAATTTTTTTTAAAAACTAATTATTTGTAACCGGGTTATTTAAACAAATCAGCTTGTTAAAATACAATAAGCAATAAATTAGCTGATATTTAATTGTTATATAATGGTGAAACTTAATGGGGAGAGAGGAAGAGAGAAAGAGAGAGAGTAACAATGATAACTTGAGAAGTGATCAAAATGTTAAAGAAATATGATTACAAACTGTAACACAAAATTAAAAAAAAGAGGGAAATAAAAGAATTGAATAGACAATGAGTAAATCTCATCGATTCAATCGTTATTCAACCCTATATAAATTAATAGAAACAAAACAGCTTGAAGAATAAGGTAAGATAATAATAATAATAATCATAGAGACTTATTATGATGTAATATCTGAAAGGGCGTAATATGAGTAATAATGCAAAAGAAAAAACAAACCAAAACAACAAAAGCGATATTGTTAATGAATGATCTTATGTAGTATATTGAACAATATGAACTTACTAAGCAAATACATACAAGAGTGAATATGTACATTCTAGAAATATAAATATCTTTATATGAATTCATTTGATGATACAATGAAAGAGCTTAGGAGAGACCAAACGTTAGCATAAAATTACTCAATTTTCTTTGTAATATTATGGTCAGAGGTATTTATCATTAGTTAGTATATTAGTTGGTAAAATATATATAGTGTACATATAGATATTACTTGGCATTTTATTGATAATCAATTAACTATTGGTAATCATGTTGACAACAAGTAACCAAATGCAAACAGTACGAAAAGAAAAGGTAATGTTAGTGATCCATCTTAACAGTTGACGAATTAATCAATAAAGAGAAAGATCTAGCAAGATGAAAAAACAATGGGTAACTGATTTGGTTTTTTGTTCATATTATTCATTATTACTCTTTGTCATCATTCAATTTATGATTGTTATCGTTAGAACTGTTAAAGTGACTTTCTTCATGTTGTTTTTGAGATACTATTTCCCCAGGCAATGTACTACATGATAATAATTGTCCGTATATTTGTCTACTGTTATTAACATTACTATTGTTATTATTATTACTACTCGCAGTAGTAATAGTAGTATAAGTAGTAGTGGCCGGTGGACCGGCAGTGATACATGTATGATTAAAAATATCTAGACTGGCATCAACTATTGTACTAGTACTAGTCCTTGTTGTATTACGACTAATCATATATTCATGATTTGAAGGTAAATGATCCAGCTCAGGATCATCAGATGTTGACAGAGATGAAGAGGTGATACGACATAGTGATGTAATCAAATGGTCATTTCTCTCATCTATTTCTTCTCCTTCATCATCATCAGCAGCACCATAATCATCATTGTCGTCCTCTTCCTCCTCAACATCAGCATCATCATTCTCTTCACTTTTTCCCCAACTTGAAAAACGATTATCATATTGAGTTTCGTTGTTATTTTTGTTGGCAATGGTGATTTGGTTCTCATCACTGTTAGCATTATCATCATCAAGATCACAGTCATCATCTTGTACACTATCATTTTCAATCACACCAATCATATCGTTTGGAAGCGTTACAATTGAAGGGATCTAGATTATACAAATATATGATAATGAGAGAGATGAATGAAATAGACTTTGATATGAAATTCACTTGAAATTTTATACAAAAAGTACAAAAATAGTTGGTGCACATGATTATGTATCACATGAAATATAAATTATCAAAAAAATTAAATATTGGCAAGTGATATTAAACTTTGCATAAGTTAAAGTAAATGCCTCTATCATGGTATTTTACGAAATTTCTTCGATAATACCTAAGAAATGATAAAAAATAAACAGTTGTGAGAAATAATTAATGATAACCAATTTTATAGATTTATGTTTTTCGTAATGAAACCGGCTTTATATAAGAAAAAAGCAGTTTGGCATCCCGCCAAAAAAAACACGGCAACATCAACTGTGGCAAAAAAATTAGTGAAACACCTGATTGAAAACTTCGGTGCCCCAACAACAATTACGAACAACCGTGGGGCCCAAAGATTGGTACAAAGAGGCACCAAATACATATGCGCCACACAAATCTCATTCGATATGTGTGAGGGCTGTGATACTACCCGGGTGCCCAAACCGAAGCAGGTGGTTTTCTTAAGGAGCCACACCCCGAGCCTTCGACCTGAAGGTCTGATCCACAAGGCATCGTAAGGAGATGCAGTCCCATGGAAGCCGGTGACCAATAATTGGTTATTACGCCATTTGTTCCCGCAGGATACTGGAGCCCATGTGCACCATTGGTTTGGAATCCGGTTAAAGCGCCGGACATTCGCTTTCCGCCCTCTCATTTTTGTAAACAACGCCACCGCCACGAGAAGGCAATGAGTATGACTTCCCTGGCAGAGGCTATATACGCGTGGCCATGTGAGAGCATTTCGAGAGGGAGAGCGGACTCTCCCCACTCTCGGACGTACCAGGGCATTTTGGGGGCACAGTTTGGAAGCGAACTGTTTCAGCAATTTACGGATACTTTCGGTGAAAAGAGGATTAGAACCAGAGCATATCATCCGACTGCTAACGGGATGATAGAAAGGTTCCATCAACAGCTAAAGGCCTCATTGAGTTTTTCTGGAAAGATTACAAATGGGATGTCAAACTTCTTTTGGTACTATCAGGCATTTGCTCAACTGTTAAACAAGACATCGGTTGTTGTGCTACTGAGTTGAGTTGGTTGATGGAACAACGTTACGTTTGCCTGACAACTTTTCTAACTGTCCAACAGATATTCTAGCAGACATAACCGACTACGTACAACAATTAAAACAACGGATCGAATCTATTAAGTTCGTCGAACCATAACCCAGAAAGTGAGATCATTCGTATCCATTAAACTGGACAAATGCTCACATGTATTCGTAAGAAATGCTAAAGTACGACAGCCCATACATTCTTCACAACGGTTTTTCTAAAACCATCTGGAAAGATGGTAAACCAGTCACAATAGAAAGAGCAAGTAAACATGACATTGTTAGCATCGATAGAGTGAAACCAGAGTTTTCAGAGAGCGCTGAAAAACAAACAGCGATGAAATTGTTTAAATGTACAGAAAAGTAAGCATCAGACAAGCTATCTGCAACGAACAGTACTTCACACTTTAGGGTTTAGTGTTTTTTAAAGTTGATATCAGTGTACAGAAATCGATATCAACTTAAGAATTTCTAAATAATCCACTAGTTTCTATTGTATACATAATCCATTCGTACAGTAATACTCATGGTAGTTTATTTAACACTGCAGCTGAGTGATATAGGTTCGTATTCTTTAAACAGTAAAAATGACTAACAAGCTGACTTTCAAACTTCGACCATTAGACGTGTTCTAATCTTTATTTTAACAGGATGATAATAATACTGATAATAAACTGTTAGGCATGTTGACAGTGAGGTTAAATAAACAAAGTTATTAAAAAATTCTTTTAAAGACAAAGAAAGTTTAATAATCGTTTGATTGTTAATGGCTTAAGTATTCATCAAAGGATAGATAGGGAAATTATCATTGGCAAAGGATAGCTCAGCATGATAAGATAAATGTTGAAATTGAGATTAAATGTAATGAGGATGATCGTGAAAACAAAGTAAACTAGTTGGGGGATAGAGGATTTGAGGGGAAGATGGAGGGTGAAGCAGATGGCTGTGAAAGGAAGAAGAGTATGAAAAAAGAGAAAAATAAAAAATTATAAGAAATCAGGACTATGGTAGAAGAAGAGGTTGTACCAGTCGCTTTTGCACACAATTTCTAATCTTTCAACAAATGAAAAAGTAGTCACATAATGAAAGTTTTATTCTAATTCCAGTCGAATTAAATAGAATATTTACTTATAACAATGTCAGTAACCCTGTTATGCGTTTCTAATTAAAAAAAAACAATACAAATGTGTAAACTTTTTTAATTTACAATAAACGCTCATAAGCTATAAATGTTTTGAGCATCGTCTAGCTTGTATGGGGTTTTCAAAGTTATTTATTTATTTGAACACATAAATGTTGGTACAAGGAGGCACCAAACAGATATGCGCCACATAAATCATTCGATTTATGTGAGAGCTGTGATACTACCCGGGTGCCTAGACAGAAGTAGATAATTTCTTAGGGGGCCACACCTCGAGCCTTCGATCTAAAGATCTGATCCACAAGGCAGGAAGTGCAGTCCCATGATAGCCGGTGACCGGAAATTGGTTCATACGCCACTTGTTCCATCAGGATCCTGGATCCCATGTACACTATTGGTTTGGAATCAGGGTTTTCCAACTCCCGTAGGTGGATCCTCCATATCCACCAACCCGGTTAAAGCAACGGACGTTCACTTTTCGTCCTCTCAATTTCGTAAACCACAGTCCTACCGCGAGAATACAGTGAGTGTACATGTGAGAGCATTTCGAGAGGGAGAGCGAACTCTCCCACCTTCAGCCATACTATGGCATTTTGTGGCGTTTTCAAAGATAAAACAATTATATGGCTCTACCAAACATCAGTAAAATTGAGACATAAGCTTAAATACATTCATTTAACAGACTGATTTTAAGTTCAGTAAATTATTTAGATAGATAACTTGAATATCAAGTGATTTCAACTATTATTTGAGTAAATCAAATAAAAGGTTTTCATAAGAAGCAATTCTTTTGAAAGGACTTGCAAAAATGGTATTTTCCAATTCATTTCCTGCAAAATCACTTTTTGAGCAATCAGAAAAGTCTGTAAAGGTGATTACTTTTGAATGAAAACAAAACAAAACAGATATCTAACTGAAATGTGTACAACAGTTTAATGTCATTTATGGATTTCTCAAGTGTAACTTGGAGGTTCTTGAAATTCGAAATCGAATAAGCAACATTATAAACATTTCATATATTTGGCTAACAAGTTTCACTTAATCAGTGCTTTATATTGGTGGAGAGAGCCTTACAAAAATGCCTAAATTGGCTTAATATTTTTCGCGTGAACTAATTCTAATTCTACCGTAATTTTTAATGCTAATCACTAATCTTAACCTGAATTTTCAACCTAGTTGTATTTCCTCACCTCAATCATATAAAATAATCTTGTGGAGAAGGCCTTTTTCTTGTGAATACGTTATTATTACATTACCATTGGAATTAGTAAGTATATGATTAATAGTCAATCCGTATATTTGTACCATGTGCCCATGACCTTAAAACTGAATTTCAACACCTGATTGGCTTATCACCGTACTCTACTATTAGTGTATAGTTCATGCAAGGTGGAACTGTTGAAGTAATCAGTATTAAAATTAAGCTTACGGTATTAGATTAAGATAGGAGAATTCGTTGATTTGGTTGTATTAGTCAATTATATTAGTTAGGACATTATTTACACATATCTAGACACTATCTATACCATAATGCAATGTTGGCTAAATTAAACTGAGAATAAACAATAAAATGAAAAAAAGTTAATCATCTAAACTTACCAAATTCATTAGAATTCGTCCAGCTTGTTCCAATGCTTCTATTGTTTTTTCTTTATCATCAAGCCAGTTATCCGATGTGTCTAATTTTAAACTATCCAAAGCTGATGCAGTAAGCTATTATGTCGTAGAATAAATACAATAAGATAAACTTTAATATACACAACATAGAAATTTTGAAAAAATATATATATTTACATGAAAAGAAGATGGCTAATTGTACTGATTGTAACAGTGCCTAATGCGGTATAGTTGTCACAGTTATTTAACAAAACATTACATTAACTATATATACAAGTCAATCGGGCGCAAGCAATGTAGAACCTACGTACATATATTCATCAGTTAAAGATGTCACATCAAATCAAAGTAAATCGAGATAAATTTGTCATGATAAATACTAGTTAGAGTAATAAAAGTAGTAACAGTATTAGTGGTATTAGAAAAAATCAAATATAGACAATATTATTCGTGAAGAGTAAATGGATTCGTGGGATAGGAACGTAAATGTTACTCTTCAAAATTACGTCCTGAAGGAATAATACAAAGAGTGAATTTATATGTAAACTGTGACCAAGAGTAATGCCACCAAACGTTCTTAATTAATGGTTGGGATGATTGAGTGAACTTTAAACAGATAGTCTGGATCAAATTAAACGACTTAGTGCAACGATTAATAATTTAATAAACTGACGATATAACCAGAAAACATAAATCACAAAGCCAATACAAAATGGTATTAGCTATATTAGTAAAAATTATTATTGACAAACCATACTTATGCATGGTACTATTGATTGTTTCTCGTCGGCATTGTTTCATCACTGCGATGGCACCTTTATGCCAAAACAAATGTACAATTTAAAACAATTAGTCTCTTTGATAAATATCGATAATTATCAGAAGGGGTTTTGTGGAGATTTTAGTAATTTCAACTATTGGAATTACTAAAATCTCCACAAAACCACTTCTAATAATAATCATCTACTCACTAGTGACTGATTACAAGAGGCATTTCCTGGAGTTATAGTGAGAAGCCATGACCAGTGAAATTCAACCAGGTCTGTTGTGAGATATCAGCTCACTAAAGACAATGGTGTAAGGTGGCGCAATTTCGTGGATCGGTTGAAATTAGACATTAACACCGTTGGATGCCGGCCGGCACAGTGGTCTCATGGTTAAGCGCTCGCGCGCGAGACTGATAGGTCCTGGGTCCGAATCTCGCGGGGGGCGGGATCGTGGATGCGCACTACGGAGGAGTCTCAAAATAGAACGAAACGGCCGTCCAGTGCTTCCAGGTTTCCCATGGTGGTCTAGCTTCAATTGACTCATGATTTCAACTATCAAAATTTCGATAATCCAATGAGAAGACGAAGTTTATCAGAATTATGTGATATACTTGTGCAATATATTTTGAACAATCTGACCACATATTCTTGTTAAGACATTTTTATATGAAAATTAAAAGGTCAACTACACAGGTTAAACGTAAGCCGTAACAAAGAAAAAATAGTACGCAAAAACAATATGACAACCACTCTGGATAATAAATCAGTATTACCAGGGTGTTACAAGTAAGGACAAATTGTTTATGAACTCATAAAGGGGGTTTCAATTTCCATATAGCCAAGGCTTCATTAATAAATCTTAGTATATAGCCTTGGAAGCTTTTGTACAACACTACAAATGTTGACTTGATGTCAAAACCTTATGATAAATCTCAATCAAATATTTCACAATGAAAGATGATGTCTGTTTACCTTGTGATTTTAGTTCAAATTTGATAATAAAATCCTCAACAAACAGGAAGTTATACACTTACTTTGATTGAATTATGATAGAAATCAATATCTTCAATCATTCAATACAACATCATTCAACCAACTAGAGATTAATGATTATCATTTTATTATAATTTGATCAATAGAATTTCAAAGAATAATGGTAACACAATTCATGTTTAAAAAGAAAAGGTAACATTTTACAGAGTATAAATACAGATACATAAATAGTGTTTTTTTTATAATTTTTTGTGGCCCTACTCTACAACATTCACTTGTCGCATATTTTATGGAATAAATTCAATGCCAAATTTATAGATTACAAAAAAAAGAATATTTACATTTTTTTTCAATAATAAATGTTATATATATATATGACATAATGATATTGGTTTATCTAATCCACCAAGATCTAGCACAATAATAATAATAATAATAATAATAATAATAATAATAATAATAATAATCATAGTACAACTAATAATGATTCATTGAAATGTAAATCAATAAATCTATTAGCAGTTAGTATTATTAAGATGAAAGTGTAGTGATCAAGAACACCAGTGGGGGACAATCGAATAGTAATTGTAAATACAAAATTACAGAACTTGTTAATAAAATCTAACAATCATATAGTAAATGCTTAATTTACAAAGTATCCATCAATTGTCTGAAAATAACTTAAACTTAATTGTTCTTGCATGTTCATACAAATTGCATTCTGTTTCCATTCTTTACTGTTCGATCCGCTTGTCTCTCTGCTGTAAGACATTCTGTTCACGACTAACATAATCTACTACTTACGTCATTATACGTAGTCCACACCATACTCGTCCCCACCCCTTTAAAGCATTTATTCTTGCGGTGGTTCTGCTCGCCGTGCCACTTTCTTCTTCTCTGCAGTTTGTGCCACGCCCTCCATCAAAATGGCGAGTCTGCGGAGCGCTGACCTCCATAGCTCCGTCGACCTGCCGGGGCGCCAACATCCAAAATCCACCCGGCACCTGGGACGTTTAACACCCGTGCTCCGCCGGTATGCTGAGCCATCTACATCAAATGTCCGCTCAGCGGTATTCGCACGTCCCATCGTTCCTCTCCGTCGACAGCACTCGCCACAACCAACGCCGCCCCACCAGAACACTCAACTCGACGCCACCTCTCCCCACTAGACTTCCCCAACTAGCACCTAAACTCCAGGCATTCTAATTCCTTTCTTTACTGTTCGATCGTCTTGTCTCTCTGCTGCCAGACATTCTCTTCCTGACTAACATCATATAATACTTATATGGATATAAATAATCCACACCACAAAACTTGATACTTTCGAATAAATTGTGAATGGAAAATAACATTTGTGACGTTCCCTAACTCAATGTTAGTTACTAATTTAGAGAGTACGTGAATTGAACTAATTAAATTATCTCAAGGTTAAATATCACAAAAGAACAAATGGAAATATTTTGTGAAAGTCAATTACATATTGATTCAGCGTTTTTTTTTTCGAGACATGTTTGTGCATTTATGTGTTAATGAGTGTAACATTTGTAATATAAACAGTTGAATTTGTATGTATGATAATAGTATGAGATGTGAATAGAAAAAGATATGGCAGTTTGGATAGATGGTCCAAGTTTGATGGATGGTAATGTTTTCATTTATATTGGGGGGAGTAGGATTTGGCAATATTTGAAAAGTTACAGCTACTCGCTTTTCCTTACAATTGTGAAAACGTACACGAATCATTTATTATTTTTAATACTGATTTAGTGGTCAATAAAGGTAGCACAGACTACAAGCTACAACTAAAATACTAATTATACGAGAGTATTTACAGCCTGGTGTCACAATATACACGGATGATTGGAGAGCATATCGATGCCTATCTAGAGTTGGTTATGTGCATCATATTGTCGTTCACAAGCGACATTTTGTGTAACCCATCAGGAGAGTGGTGGAGGTTAAAAGAATTTTTGCGACCTTATCATGGCCTCTAGAGGTGGACTATTATGGAGTTACATGGATGAGTTACTATATCGTATGCATTGCAATTTCAGAACTACAGAGCCCCATTTCTAATCCTGAAAAGTTTTTAAAACCATTTTGAAGAAGTATATCCACTATAATTTTTTAGTTTTATATAATACATTCTTACTCTCGACGGACTTTTCTGATTGGTTGAGTTTTCTCAAGGTAACTTGAGATTATGGTCTTGCAGTTATGTAATAGGTAGGGAAATAATTCACCTATGACATGATCATTTATGTATATTTACGGAGTTTTACAAAATGTTTGCAACTAATCGAAAACCTAATTACTGAGAAACTTAAAAAGTTATACCATGTTGATTTAGAGACATTTCTCTCATCTTTTATTTAGAAGTATAATCATTATAGAATACATATGTCAAATATGTTCAGCAATAAGCAAAGACAAGTCATGGGGATATTTACAGATGAATATAAATAGCAGTAAATCATTGTTTAAAAACTAATTATTCGTGAAATATTGACAAAATAATGACTTGCAAAACGTGAACTTTAGCCTAGGAATCATGTTTTCCTAAGAATTTATTTAACGTATGAAGAAAAATAGAATAATAACGATAGATAAATAAGAATAATACTACTATTATAGCCACTAATATAACAACAGTTGCTCATTAATACTAATACTATTGTTAGGCTTACCTGACTTAATACTTTAACCAAATAGATTTCGTTGGATAAATAAGTGATAACATCCGGATCCGTGAATAGTAAATTAAGGAATAAATAAAATACTTGATATGCAGCAGTATTTGTTTCATAAATAAAATTGGAATTTAGTAGTTTGAATAAATCAACATCATTGGAATCTTTAAATGAAATAAAAGAAAGAGTGAGAAATGAGAGGCTGAAAGTGATGATCACATTAGGAAAAAATGCATTCATCGTGGTTTGACCTTAGTCGAGATACAATTGAAAACTATGGACATTTATCCCGTCCTAGCAAAGAATTCATCAGCCGAGAGCATTCCATCTGACTGAGATCGCAGTATGTGATGAATATTATCGACACATTAATTTAATCTTCACAAAATTTACTTCTATCAAAAAGCTGTACATCAATTTATTTCGACCAAACAAGTTGTTTCTAGTTTGCCTCAATATAAATGTTTCACCTCAAGCTTTCAGAATAAATGGATCTTGGCTAACAATAGAATCCACGATGCGCATTTTCTTCTATTTGTGCTTTCATCAGCTGGGTGTAGTACCTGGATCCTATTGTTGACATTCATGTTAGGACTCTAACTTAGCACTCACCTACTGAATCCAGTTAGTCAACGAGGAGGATGTCTATATCATTAAAAAAGGGTTTTAGTGGTTTAAACATAATCTACCCGTTTTTCAATAAGAATAGTAATAAAATGAATAAGTTAAATTAGTGAACTAAGGTTATGGTAATGAAAGTGGGATTATGTAACTTGCGTATACGCAATACCTTTCTATTTTAATTCATATAGATACGCTTGGATCAGTCTGAAAAGTCACTGATTTATTTATTTCACTAGTACTCTTTGTGAATTTCATTCACTATGACAAAATCATGCTGGCAAACACAAATACATATTTTATTGCAATAATTAATTTTTTTACGGATACATAAATGGCATAAACGTTTCGGAAAATAGAAACTAGTAAAGAAAAAAAGACAGATTTCTTATATTGTTGGAATTAAACAACATATTGGAAGGAGATCAGTCCTTTTTTGAAGGAGAAAACAAATAAAGAGAATTCATCGAAGAACATTTTTCTCATGACGAAATCGTTCAGTTAAGTTGTACATTCGTATTTACAGTTATATGGAAAATATATGTCTATAGAAGGATAGAAGAGATTGCATCATAAAACAGATTCGAGATTCATATTATCACAAAGAAACTTATTTGACGTTGAAGAGGAATTGTTATTGTCTTAAGCTTTAGTTATACACTAACAAATTACTCAGATGATAACTTATAACCTAAAAGGCTGACGAAATATTGCGTCTTTATTATACTGGCCTAATAACCGAATGAATTAATGTTAAAGTAAGTAGGAGAGATTTAATACAAGAGAAAATCTTTCATCTTAATTCTATTCACCGTGTCATACCACATGTGTAAGTTTTACTGCGGAAGTTTCTTTTACAAAATGCTTGTATTATTGATAAACTTTGAATGGAAATTAAAAAGATTGACATTTTTCAAATACAGTAAGTTTTCGATAATCATTGAAAATCCTCTCTAACTGGTTCACACAATTTAAGAAATCATCTAAGAAACATAAAATATAAACTCCTTTTGTTTGATTTAAAAATTTTCGATACCATAGGATAAGTCAATTGTAGCTCAATCATACATCTAGTTTAATAAAACTGTCAATATTAATCCGGTTTACTATTCCTATCCTACAATTTGAAATATCCTTCAACGATGTGGGCAACCGAGAAGTATCGTTCAAAAATTTAGAACAGTATTTGACAGGCGTTTACCAAACAGAAATAATAATAATAAGGGCGATTACAGTTTCTAAAGGTAACTTACAGCTAAACAGAAGACGTATACGTACAGATTTTAATGAATCTGACACCTGTAATAGACGTTCTAATAATTTTAATATACTGTCTAAATCACATGGATGCAAAATGGAATAAACTAGTTCCCTGAGAATAAGATCTGAAAAATTCATATTTTCATAGGAGAGGAACTATGAAAAAGAAAATAAACAAATACACGAAAAATGAAAAAGTAGGCAAAATGAAAATATAAAATAAGATCGATAAAAACATCTTTTAAATGACAATGTTTTATTGTTCCGATATATACTTAACATTTAGGAAGTTATGGAATCCAGGATGAGTGTTTTGTCTGAAATATATCTAAGAACTCGTATCGGGGTTCACACTGGGACGCGAACACAGAGAACATCTTCCTTCAAATGCACGTGTTATACACTGAGCGATCGAGTCTAGATGGTTACTAACTGGTTGAATAGGTATAGAGGTATTAGTCGTGATTTGTAACTTCTCAATGCTAATATGCTGAATTATGACCGAGTGGTTACAGTTCCTATACGTTAATCCTGAGTTGATCGGCTAAATTTATTGTTATGCCACACGCTTAAGTATACCAAAAATAATAAATCTTGAGATTTAACATGTTGAAACATTCCGCTCAGTATATATATATATATATATATATATATATATATATATATATATATATAGGAACAGGAACTGGTCAATCACAATAATGCATATATCAACAACAGGACATAATATAAGTCTACGAATTTTTGACGAGAACTTTAGTTACTATTGACATCGAATGTAGAACCACAGAAAACTGTGTGACTAAACAGATGGTACCTTCTTGCTTGAAACTCTCGATCGTTAATGTTGGGGCTGACTAATATAAAGTGTTAACTTGAATCAGATCGGATCAAAAAGCCAGATCTTTACATCCAAAAAGAAATATGTTCAGCTTTTCTTTTTATCCTGGCCAATTAGTTAATAATCAATTTTATAATGCGTTGACATAGTGTGAATAATGTTCATTTCGATGTCCCAAACTTATCATTATCTTTACTATTATTATTATTATTATTATCTTTATGACTGTTATTATTACACTGGATAAACTTTTTGAGAAATTTATCCAGTATCCACCTCTATCTATTATATCTGACCTAGTTCATATTGTTCTACATACTGCGTGAAATCTGATATTTATTCCATTATTCTCTCCCCCTGACCTCGTGTTGACCATATTTATTCTGATCATATATCTTACAATTTCATTTCACTTATAAACTGATTCAAGTCAACAACTTCATATTAGTTAGCCCCCCCCCCGACAATCCTTGATTCACATATTACAATTTTATATGATGTACTTTGCCATAAATCTGACCAATTTTGTAGATTATTAATTTGGATTTATAATTGTAGAGTATCTGATGAGACATTCATTGAAATGAATATTCTTCGTTTATATACTTGTGGTTTCCACCAGTCAATGAAATTTCAAGTTTTTTTTCTAAATAAGCATAATGAAGTTGCTTTACTGGTAAATTTTCTTTTAAGTTTGTGATCTATCATGAAACTCTGTAATGCATATGATTAAACACTGGATATAATAAAAAACAACAATATTTCATAACAGCACATCAAACGTAAATGCTATTGAAAACTAACCAATAGAATATCCGAAATAGGCTTAAATGTTATTGGATTAAGGAGTGACCCTGTGAAACGTTTAACAATACGTTCTGATTGGTTTGAAAAAAATAATTGAATTAAAGAATTAGAAAGAGTGACCAATGGAGTAGATGTTACACAATAAGGATTGTGCTGATTGGTAGATACTGACTTAGCTTGTGTATCAGTTAATGATTCTGAAATGATTGGGCAAGTTCCATGCGGCTCACAACATTTCTCTGTTTTGTTTATTTTATGTGAGACTTGATCTTCGGTTTTTGCTAAAGAATAACAATTAGCAGATGAGGTTGTCGTAGAAAAAGATGATGACGAAGATAATCGTGATGAGAAATTGAGGTAATGAGATGGAATTTCACAAGATCTGACTAGATAAGATAATAAATCCAGTGAGATTTTTAAACCACAATACGTGATAAGACTAGACACAGTAGTATTAAAATCATGGTTACTAATTGTGGTTAAATTATTCTGTTCATTGATAACTGTATCATTATAGTCATATTTATAATGACTGTAAAAATCAAAATTTGAATTCGATGCTGTAGTTGAAACTGTTGAATTAGTTAGAAGTGCATAGACTAAAGTATCTAAACACGACGAAAGCCGCAAATTTGCACAGCTGAGTGACTGAATTTCCATAGATAATTCGTTGTATAGATGTTTGATGGATGTTTGTATACAATCGTAATTACGCGATTCTTGGTTCCAACCGGGAAGGGAAGATGAAAGAGTATGCGGTATTGATGTTGTTGTTCCTGATGGTGAAGTTCCAACAGTTTTCAACATAACTTCATAGGACAGCATATAACTGGAATACAGTCATAAAAAAGTAACAGTTTTTTCAGAAAAATTATTTCTGCTTTATTCAATAATCAATTATACTGTAGTATTTCCAACTTATTAAGCTTAACCTGGTAAAAGTACCGGACATTTGTTTTTCGTCCTCCCGATTTCGTAACAATACCTTCAACGCGAGAAGGCAGTGCGTAGAACTTTCCTGGCAGTGGTTTTATGCACGTGGCCAAGTGAGAGCATTTGGAGAGCGAGAACTAACTCTCTCCCACCCTCGGCATTTAGGGTATATGGGGGATCCCACCTAGGGGAGTTGGAAAACCCTGATTCCAAACCAATGGTGCACATGGGCTCCAGGATGCTGAGGGAACAAAGGTGTACGAACTTATCGTTGGTCGCCGGCTACAGTGGGATTGTCTCCCCTTACGTTGCCCCGTTGCCTTGTGGTTCAAACCTTTGGGTTGAAAGCTCCGGGTGTTGCCTTTTCAAGAAAACCACCTGCTTCGATCTGCATACTCGGGCAGTATCACAGCCCACACACAAATCAAGTGACTTGTGTGGCGCATATGTATTCGGTGCACCTCTGTACCAACATTTATGTGCTCAAGTAAATAAAGTAAACAAATAAATATTAAACATAAAACGGAAGTTATAAAGAAAACTTGCAGCAGTAATAATTACGACCAAATCACATTTATTAATAGTAAGTTCAAAAATATATTGTGTCATTTAGCTAAAAATATAATTTTTAACGATTCATATATAGGTTAGAGTTTGTTATGTCAATAAAGCAAGAAATCTAGAAAGTACTATTTATAGAAAGCAGTATGTTGAACTCAAGCTAAACGGACTTTAAACATGCTCCAACACAAACAAATTGTGAACATGATTACTTTCAGGACGAAAATTCCCGTTTAATGTTTGTCTCACGTTCGAACGAGTTAATTGAACGTTAGACATATTCATCGTTAGTTTAACATGCAAATCGTACTAGACCGCAAAAATATAATATAAAGATGTCAACAAATTGTACTAATATATATGAATCATCGAGATTGCGATAAACATAATTAAGATGATCATGCTATCTATCTAGTTTGTATATTTGGTAAATTATTTTAAGCCGTCACTAGGATATAATGAAGTGAAATGTGAAAACACAATATTGGATCTATCATATGAAAGATTACTATTTATATTTTATGATATAATTAGTAGAAACTTAATCTGTTGTATTTTTATATTCTTCTATTTCTAAGCTCCCACTTGACTAATAAATCGTTATAATATATCGTATTATTTCAAACATCACTAATCAACTATTTCCCTGTTCTTTCACTTTTCTATCACATATGACTAAATTATCACAAGCACTGTAATTCCTATTTGTGCTGATGTGTAGTTAAACATTCCACGTATATTATTTCATGGGTATTGATTGATAATTGAATACAGTACAACTGAAAATTGATCTGATTCCTATCTGTGTTTTCTAATTAGTCATTGGGTTAGGAGAAGACGGACGACCAATAATGGTCAAGGTCTTGATTGTTGTTCATAAGTCGGTGTGTCAATTTGTAAAACAGATGGTCATCGATCCTACTGGAAGTGTAAATGAACTAGTTGATAATCGCGCTAGCGAAAGAGAGATTTATAATACAGCGACGCCAGTAATTACGATCAGATTATACTGGTCTCAAACAATAAAAGAAAACATTTTATCTTAAATTTGCAAGTTATGTCACATTATTATGCACAATGAAAAAATTCGTTGAAAAAATATTAAAACAAATACATCAACACACTTGATTAAAATTTCCGGGACATGTAGTTTTAACAGATAACAACATTCTTGGTTACCATAATTTGCATAATCTAACAAAATAGCAAAATACTGTGCCCATATTACAGAGGAAGGACACATAGTTGATAATGATGATGATGGTAATGATGTAGAAGGATTATTATTAATAATAGCAGAATGGTATAACGTAGTCGATGATGATGTTGATGGTACTGGCATAATAGACTGAAGTGTCGATGTAACCGCAGCATTCATAGGAAATGAAGATGATGAAGGATTTCCTGATCGAATTGTAGAATAGGGTTGATGATAATTTGGTTGTTGTTCCTGGAAAGATTTATTTGATGATAGTGCTAATGTATTTGGAGAGAAATGCAACTGATGTACTATCAGTTGTATTAAACATTCTCCTGGATTAATCATCTGATTATACATATTATTATTACCATCACTATCATTGGAATCATTTTGTAAAGAACAGGAAGAACGTTTCTGTGGTAAATTTATAAAACGATTAATAAAACATGTGGCAGAAAATATTCGAGCAGTAATCTGTGCGTTATCCACGGTTGAATTTTCAACAAATACTGGTGATTTTGTTTCATTCAATGTAGACCTCAATAAATAAGACAAGACACTGGCGGTAGTAGTAGCAGCAGTAGTTGTTTTTGTGGTATTGGCAGTGACTTCAATATTTAGAGAAGTGGTCGCATTAGTAGTGTTGGTTGATGTAGACCTTGTATTACATACACTAGAACAACAATTACTATTATTATTGTCACTGCTTTCAGTAGTATTAGTAATAGTGTTAGAACTATTGACCAATGAAATAAAAGAATGTAGAATATCTTCACATTGTACAGATGGATCATTCATACATAAATGACAGATATAAATCATTAGAGCGGCACTGAAAAATCGCATCTGGGAAAAAATTAAAAAGCAAATAGACACGTAAGAATATACAAATATATGTGAACAGGGCAGAAAAAGGAGAGAATGAAATCAGGAAAACTTTACGCGTGAATAATATACGTATCTATCTAGGAAGTCGTTGAAAAAATAGTACAATGACAGCGGATGCAATCACCACCACACTTAGGGAAAATCGCATTCAACTGATGCATCAACGTTTATCATATAGATAGGTAACAAACACAATTAATTGATCACTGGGTGGTGATCAATGTCATGCTTGTCTAGTCCTTATTAGTGCAGATCGAATGCTATCGATCATGTTGCAATGTGGCCACCAGTCTAGGTGACTCGACACTGCGGGCACTATGTATTGAGATCTAGATGGCAGTTGGAGGTAGTCAACAGGAAACCCTGGACCCGAGACCTGTTGACTACCTCCAACTGCCATCTAGATCTCAATACATAGTGCCCGCAGTGTCGAGTCACCTAGACTGGTGGCCACATTGCAACATGATCGATAGCATTCGATCTGCACTAATAAGGACTAGACAAGCATGACATTGATCACCACCCAGTGATCAATTAATTGTGATTACATCTCAGTTCTACAGGAGGTTAGTCACGGCTCGGATAGCTCGGTGGTAGCGTCTTTGACTGTGAAGCTGGGTGACACGAGATCGAATCCGCCAGGGAGCACCAGTTCCCTCAAGATTACAGGTACACCTTGCTGACGAGTGCCAAGTAGCAGGAAACCCGGGTCCAGGGTTTCTTGTTGACTACCTCCAACTACCATCTAAAATAGGTAACAAACTCTAGACATTTCATGAATGTCCAGATTGTGTATTGATAATCACATACACGAGAAATAATACATCAATCTATTAATCAGAGAAATAAAGTGAGCTTCTTATTAGAAGACAAATTCTGACTGAAAAATATTCCATGACACAAACAGAATGAGGATGTCAGTAAAATAAAATGTAATAATCAAGAAATTGTGGATTTAGTTCTTTTATTGTATATGAAACGAACGGTTGTAAGAGACTTCATTGAAGCAAATAATTGTCAGTAGGTTTAGTGTTTACATCAGCCGATCATTTAGTGGTAACGATGTTAGCCTAATACAAGATTAGACATTGACCGAATGCTTCAGTGGCATAGTCTTTGACTCTTTCTGAGTGTGATACCTGATTATACGAGCTCAAAATACAAGAGAAGCACCAAAACTCTTAGGACTATAGATACATCTTGCCAAAGAGTGGGAATTAGTAGGAATGGTTGGAAATAGTCGAAAGATGAGTAGAACTAGGTAGTTTTACGATTCCTGATGGTAAATTTCAGAAGACTTCAAAGTACCAATAGTGAAAGCCAGAAAGGCTCATGTTTTCCTGGACCACATAGGACCTGTAATCAGTCGCAACATAGAACTTTGTATGTATGTATATTAGTTTAAGTCGCCATACCATATTACCACAGGGTGATGAAGTTGTCAGGTCAAATCCCAAAATAGTAGAGATATTAGTAATATCAGAGGTAATAGGAAAGATCGGGAATTGAACATACGACTCGAAAATATAAGTCAAAGAATCAAAGTGACATCACCATCAATAGATCAGAATAGAAGCCACTGGATATCTTACTGTCGTTCCCTAAAACATTCCTCATAAAATTTAGTTAAACTTCCTCTGTTGAATGAATTCCTTTTAGAGTGTATTTTTAACAGAAATGTATTACCTACTAAATACAATTCCCGTTTATTGATTTATTGATCGAGATGACCCATCTTTTTTTTCATTTTCCTCCTATGATTATCACTTCATTTGTATAGTGCATTTAATTATTGATTATGCCATACTGTACTAGAATTTGAGTTGTTTTGAATAAAATATTATGATTAACAGAAACCAAATTTCAGTTCAGTTTCCTGTTGATTGCATCTAGTGTAATCACATCGAGATAACAGATTATAAGTTATTTCAAATTAAGATGAGTTTGTGGAGGTTATTATACTGTTCTAGTTTATAACACGAACAAGAACCATTAAATAGCTTTTCGTCCAAGTGTGGGACTCCCCCATAGTGGATATCTACGGCACAACAGGGGAGCGAACTCATCCTTCATAAAGTGTAATATCGTGAACTAAATAAAGTAAAACAATGTGGAATATTGGATGCTGATTCAGATCCTAAAAGATGACAGGGATCCACCGAAGGACCTGAGGATCTCGGATTCGGTCCCTATTGGGTTTGTGTATGTGCAATGATGAGAGATACCATACAAGAATGAAACAACTGCCCATTGTTTTCTGATTTTCAACGACTGTCTAATTAAAATTAACTCGAGAAGCAAATTATGTATCCTTCTTCTAGTCAAATCATATTGACAGAAAGAAAAAATATATATAACAGAATAACCATCTATCTGCAAACTAGCATCGCTAACAAATCAATATAATAAAAATAATATTATCATTATTACATCAAATAACAACATACTTCAGGATAAGGACAATGGAATTGTAAAAATCTAATTTGATCCGGTGATGCTAGGAACATTGTTTTAATTAATTCACATCTTATTGGCGCACTAATTGAAATCAATTTGATGAATAAAAGTAGCCAAGATTTCCTTTGATTTGAATAGGAAACAAAAATGAAACAATATAAAGGAAAGGATAAGAAATAAAGAATGATAAATAAATGAACTAAATAAACTAATCATAATTTTGAATAATTTTTTCTAGTTAGCGTTTTTTAGCGAGTTAGTGTTCTGCGGGATGGGGTCGCTAATCCGATGCCCAACCCTCTTCCTTTATCCGGGCTTGGGACCTGCAGTAGCCCCAGAGGGACTCCAGGCGGAGTGTGTGTGTAAAAAAAGACAACTTACATAAATTGAAGCATCAAGTGTCAGAAATCCACTTTTTCTACTTATTGAGATATTATACAAATGTATTATTAGTTTTTTAATAATACATTTGTATAATGTCTCAATAAGTAGAAAAAGTGAATTTCTGGCAATTTGATGCTTCAATTTGTGTAAGATGTTTCTTTTTTCTTAGAGAATCAATCAATAACCGAACTAAATTCGTTGCCTCGTTTCGGCTTTAATAATAATAATAATGATTGTAAAATGAACTATCAAATGAAAGTTTCCCATTTAGTGTTGTATCCAGTACTCAGACTAATCCGATTAAATAATGACGGTAATAAAAGACAAATATTAGATGAAGTAGGATAATTTACTTCAAGGATTCCTTTATGCAGATATATGATGGACAAGGAGATAAACAACTTTGTCTACCCAAATTAGCTTAATATGATTCAATATTTATAGTTGGATCAATAAAGCGATAAACAGACAATATGCATTTATGAGCAAAAAACCTTTAAGGCTAATGCTGAATAACTGACATGGACAAATATATTTGCACGTAATGACTCAGGAAAATGAGATGAGATTGTCAGAGAGAGTATAGTGTAAAGACGAGCTAAAAACAACCGCAACCAATTTTCGGACACTTCGCAGAAAATCAGGAAAGTTTTTGGTAAATGAACAATTTACAGAAAATAAGACAGTAATATTACGAAATGTAAACAAACTTCACATATGTAATGAATTTATTAAAGCATTCTACAGGTGATTCCGTCAGTAAACTGAAAAACAACAACAAATAAACTTGTCTTAATGGATGTAGATTGTGCATTTTTCCCAACCTTTAAAAAGATCCAAAGAGATTTTTCATAATGTCCACATTGTTCTTGGTTAGGTTTAGGAGTTCCGTAACAGGACGAAATGGCCTTCCAGTGCTTCTAGGTTTTTAATGATATTCTAACTTAGATCACTTCAAGATTTAAATGAAATTCAACAATCTTCACAACCTTATACGAACAATAGGTTTCAGTACTTAGGTTAATCGATCACCAAATGACATCACCTATAGTGTAAATAAAGCTCTGTAGCCAAATAGATGCATGAATTTAACGCAAAAAAGTAAGAAATGTTATTTAATTAGTTAGTCCATAAAATTCAGTATCACTGCTAGGTGTACAGTTTGGTTCAGAATTGAGAGTTTAGGTTAAGATTTAGAGATAGTATCGATTTGCCAATCGTATATTATGTACAGAGATAAAACTAAGCACTTGATATGTTCAATATTATAATTTTTACTGATCGTTATGAATGATATTTTAATTTCGCCTTGAATGTTTACCTGTATCCATGCACGTCTGAGTGGGATATTGATGATACAGAGGGGGGGGGTAAGGTTAATTTATTATACGATAACAGTATGAAATCTGAATAGTTTCAGTATAAATACTTGAGAAAACTATCCAAAAATGGATAGGTAATTAAATCAACCTTAGTAATGCAAAAGCCATTTTATATTATTTTGATAATTTTAATATCCATCTGATGGTTGATAAAAAGATGGTATATAGTGCTAATTTGATTTGAAAGTTCTTGAGTTCAACTGGAATATTAAAGTTTTTTTTGTAACGCGTGAGTATTTCTTGTGATGAGTCAAGATTTTACCAGAAAAATCTAATGTAGAAAGTATCACAAACGAAACCATTTGATATGTAGACACGATTTTGTTTAGCAGAAAATGACGTTTCTCATTTTATACGGACTAAAGTTTTTTTTTCAAAAAATATTGGTTATCTATACAATGCATTTTATTATTATTTAAGTACATAAACATTGATACAAGAAGGGACTAAATATATATAAGCCACATAAATCATTCGATTTATGTGAGGGCTGGGATACTGCCCAGGTGCCCAAACTGAAACAGGTGGTTTTCTTAGGGGACCACACCCCGAAATTTTGACCCAAAAGTATAATCTACAAGTCAGTGGAGCAACGTAAGGAGATGCAGTCCCATGGTAGCTAGCCGGTGACCAATGATTGGTTCATACACCATTTGTTCCCTCACGATCCTGGAGCCCATGTGCACCAATGGTTTGGAATCGGGGTTTTCAAACTCCCCTAGATGGACTATCCATGTCCACTAACCTAGTTAAAGTGCCGGACATTCGCTTTTCTTCCTCTCAGTTTCGTAAACAACAGTAATTCTACGAGAATGCAGTGATTAGGACTTCTCTGGTAGTGTTTGTATGTAATTATTCGGGATAGTATTTCACAAAACTTGTTGTATTTTCACACTAACTGTTACAACTGTATGATTTACAACTGATTATAGTTTAGAAAAACGAACACAATAAGAGTTGATGCTGAATTATAAGCATAACTACTTGTACAATAATAAAATTTAAACATAATTGTAACCAATTTAACATACCAATTTGATATGACCACATGATAACGTAGAAAAATAAAATGAAGTAATAGTTCTACAGTAATAAATCCTAAATTTTGATAGGCACTGGAATTAGTCTACAAGAAATATAATTAAAAAAAAAGAAACTGAATAGAATCAAAAACTTAACAATCTCCACAACCCCTATACTAGTAATCAACATGTGCTCACTAGTGACTAGCTTCGTGAGGGAATTCTCGGAGTTCTAGTGAGAAGCCGTGACCAGTGGAACTAATCCTTGTCGGGTAGAAACAGGTATCTACCTCAGTACAACGGAAGTTGGTCGCACAATTTCGCGAATTGGTTGATGTTAGAAACTATCACCATTGGATGCCGGCTCAGTGGTCCAGTTGGTTAGGCGTTTGCGCGCGAGACCGAAGGCCCTGGGTTCGAATCCCGCGGGCGGAATCGTGAATGCCCACTGCTGAGGAGTTCCACAATAGGACGAAACGGCCGTCCAGTGCTTCCAGGTTTTCAATTGTGGTGGTCTAACATCAATCGGTTCATGATCTCAATCAAAAACTTAACAATCTCCACAACCCCTATACTAGTAAAGAACAAGGAATTTTGTGCAGAAAATATAAATGCATAAATATTTTAACCAAATACATATTATACTTTAATGATCAACGTTAGAGTCATTGATGATTACAGGTTCGAGTTTGGGAGAAAAGTGATACATACTTTCTGGCAAATTAATTGATAAAACTGTTAATATTCATTAACTGGTTGACTGAGACAAACTCAATCATTGATGACTTTAAGGTATTATGCTATATGGTTTAATGAATCGGCTTGATGGAGGTCAGAACAAGTCATGATGTTATCATTAAATCATTGGGTGTTATGGTTAGTTATGTGAAGAAATACAACTTGCGTATTTAGGATTCAAGTGATAATTCATATATCTATAAATGAAAACGTTGGATGACACAACCTAGCATTGGTTGCAGTGATGTCGATAAATTCAATCTTTATCATACACGAAATCTTTATTTTGAATGTGCTGAAGGCGGTTAGAAGGGCGTGTGGTGAATTTTTCGAGGTTGTAGATAGACATCTTAAGTCTTGCGAACTCCTGGCTGATGTTGTCTTATCAAATACTAACTTCATCCGTACCTTTCTCTTTGTATATCTTTTGGTAAAATGAGGCGCCAATACATTAGAATTCAAGCACGCAAGCAAAAGTATAAAAGTTTTACAATACCTTATCTAGCAAATGTACTCTGTGACGAACAGGTTGTTACGGTTGACCTACTTAATAACTTGTATTCTTAAACATGTTTCTAATTAGAAAAACAGTACAGATTCAAATCATTTAAAAAAAAAACACATTTCATTTAATGACAGGTAGTTTATCTACTTTAATTTTGCATATATGTATGGAGTTGTCAGTTTCTTTCAGTTTTTGTAAAAGAAACTTATTGAAATACTTTGTTCTGTGAATCTTATATTGTATCAAATATGTAATGTTGAGTAAAGTCATTAATAATGATAATAATGTCACATATTTTAATTCCAAAAATTCGTGGAGTTTTTTGTTTGAATCATATTCTCTGTATGTAGTCTTGTATATTACTATTTTGATTTACTAACTGCTAATCCTATTAATGTTAACTAGCTGCGTTGCTTTAGTGTAGCAGCTCAGAACTGATGTATATTTGTATCGGATTTTACTGTATTCGGATTGACTGATTTTACATCTTGTGACGACGGACCACCGGTGAACTCGAGGAAGCTGTAAGAGGCTCAGAAGGAGCCGAAGACGTTCCATCCAATCACCCTTCGGAGGAATGTTCTAGAATTCCAACGTGTAGCTTCCCGATTGGATAATGCTAATAACCCCCTGTACGCGGATTGGAAGACTGTAATGATGATTTTGTTCTCACTAAAAACTATAAATACCTGACAATTTTGTACTATGTTTGACACTGTTTGGAATAATATTCCTTTCGTTAGTCTTCTGTCTTCTTATTGCGACTTGGAAGGGTTTGGTGTTCTAGTGCTCGGTTATACGCGGTAGTATCAAGAAAAATCAGCTTTTTCAAGTTATAACATCTGGCGACGGGTTATTGTATCAATATGTCATTTACCTTGGAACAATTTGAAGCCTTATTGGAACGCCAAGAACAGTTCCAGATGCGCATGTTAGAGATGCTAACGCAGAAAATGAACCTGGATCAAAAAGAAGTTACAGATGATCCCTTCAAATCTCATGTTGACCAGATTGTTAATTCTATCCATGAATTTAATTTTGATGGTTCAGCTGGCATTACTTTTGAAACTTGGTTCAAGAAATATGAAGATTTGTTCAAGGTCGACCTCAAAAAACTTGATGATGCCGCTAAGGTCAGAATACTCTTGCGAAAACTTGGAACTGTTGAACATGAACGTTATAGTAACTTTATCCTTCCAAAGAATCCAAGAGATTTTTTTTTGATGCAACGATTGAAATTTTGTCGCAAATCTTTGCTGAACAGTCATCCTTGTTTAAAATTCGTTATCAGTGTCTCAAGATGACAAAAGCAGGTGATGATGACTGGGTGAAACATGCGGGTTTAGTAAACCGTTAATGTGAGCGTTTCAAACTATCAGCAATGACAGAAGACCAGTTTAAGTGTCTCGTATTTGTGTGCAGCCTCCAATCTCCCGAAGATGCCGATATTAGAACTAGAATTTTGAGTAAAATTGAACAATGTCCGAATATGACACTACAAGAAGTAACCGCAGAGTGCCAGAGATTGGTGAACCTAAAGCATGACACTTCGATGGTCGAAAATAATGGCCAGTTGCCATACGTTCATGCTGTAAGCGGAAAGAACGATTCTTGCTCAAGAAAGGTATCGCACACAGATAATCAGCCTTCATCTCCATGTTGGTCTTGTGGTGGTTGGCATTATAAAAGGTTCTGCCCACATAAGGAACATTGTTGTAGCAAGTGTCATCGCAAGGGACATAAAGAAAACTTCTGCAGAAAAAGAACCCATAAACGACATTCTTTGAAACCCTACTCGAAGAAATACAGATTTAGTGCTCGAACTAACAAAATATTGGTATCACGTAATCGAGCACGAATTTGCCGCCAAAGAAAGTGTGTAAACTTGGGGATAAATAAAAAGAGTCCCCGCCTGCAACTTGACACCGCTTCTGACATCACACTTATTAGTCGGAGAACTTGGAATCTTATCGGTAAACCACAGGTGCTCCCAACAACCCAGTTAGCTCACAGCGCATCTGGAGGAAAACTAAATATTGTTGGAGAGGTTTGTTGTACAGTTTCGAGACGAAACGCGAAAATGAATGCAACTTTATATCTTACACAGAATCCAGGACTAGATTTGCTAGGTCTAGACTTGATAGAAACACTACAATTAGCAAATCACCCCATTAACCACATATGCAGCGCAGTGAGAACCAATAAACCGGTGGAAAAGGATCTGAAGAGTGTTGTATTGGAAAGACACAGTCAAGTGTTTACGGAAGAGTTGGGGGAATGCAAAAAGGTTAAAGCACTATTGATTCTTAAACCGGGAGTCACCCCCGTCTTCAGACCAAAACGCCTGGTACCCTATGCAGCGCTACCTATTGTTGAACAAGAGTTAGAGCGTCTGCAAAGAAGTGGAATAATAGAGCCAGTAAACTTTTCTGATTGGGCAGCTCCAATAGTGATTGTTAAAAAGCCTAATGGAAGTATCCCGTTATGTGCAGATTATTCGACTGGATTAAATGAAGCGCTTGAAGCCCATCAATACCCATTGCCGGTACCAGAGGATTTATTTGCGAAACTGAACGGGGGTAAGTATTTTGCGAAATTAGACCTATCAAACGCTTATCTACAGATTCCGGTAGCGGATGAGTGTAAGCATTACTTGACAATAAACACTCACAAGGGATTGTTTCGATATAACCGACTTCCTTTTGGAGTAAAGATTGCCCCTTCAATCTTCCAACAAGTTATGGACACTATGTTACAAGACATTCCTGGTACCGCGGCTTATCTCGATGATATATTGATCATGGGTACAGACTATGCTGATTTAGAGGATAAGGTGGATACGGTTCTTAGACGCATAGCAGATTATGGATTCAGACTGCGTGCCGAAAAATGTGATTTTTACATGGAGCAAGTCCGGTATTTGGGATTCATAATCGACAAAAACGGGAGAAAACCTGATCCTGAAAATGTCAAAGCCATTAAGTCCATGCCTCCACCGACGGATGTGTCAACTTTACGTTCTTTCTTGGGAATGGTTAGTCATTATGGAGTTTTTCTGCCAGATCTGCATCGCCATCGTGCTCCTCTTAATTGCTTATTGAAAAAGGATACTAAATGGTTCTGGTCAACTGAATGCCAAGAAGCATTCCTAAAACTGAAGCAGCTTCTATCATCGAACCTTCTCCTTACACACTGTGATCCCGATCTTCCAATTATAGTCGCAGCAGATGCGTCGAACTACGGAATTGGAGCAGTAATTTCACATGCCTACCCTGACGGGTCTGAGAAAGCAATCGCTCACGCTGCGAGATCGCCGACTATGACTGAAAGAAACTACAGTCAAATAGAGAAAGAAGCCCTCGCGATTATATTTGCTGTAAAAAAGTTCCACAAGATGTTGTTTGGTAGGTAGTTCACCTTACTTACAGACCATAAACCGTTACTGACAGTCTTTGGATCTAAAAAAGGCATCCCGGTATATACAGCAACCGGCTACAGCGATGGGCTACCACACTGCTGGGCTATGATTTCAAGATAAATTATCAACCAACAACGGATTTCGGACAGGCAGATGCACTCTCAAGATTAATTGGTCTGCATGAAAAACAAGAAGAAGAGGTGCTTGTAGCTGCTATAGATGTCGAGGCCGAGGTTCACAAAATATTGTCAGACGCAGTTTCCGGACTCCCAGTCACATTCGAAGCCATCAAGGCGGCTAGCAAGAAGGATAATGTATTGAAGATTGTTCGCCATTGCGTACTCAACAAATGGCCGTCATCTAGACTACACGGAGAACTCTTACAATACTTTCGTCGACGAGAGTCATTAACAGTTGTCGATTCATGTATAATGTTTGGCCATCGTATCGTTATCCCCAGAAATCTTCGACACCAAGTCATTAAACAGTTCCACAGCGGGCATCCAGGGATAAGTAAAAGGAAGTCACTAGCTCGTAGCTATGCATACTGGCCGTCAATAGAGCAAAAATGTCGCAGCTGTTGGTCCTGTCTAGAGGCTGCGAAGAATCCAACGAAAGTTGAACCACAACCATAGCCGAAACCAGACGGGCCTTGGCAAAGAATACATGCTGATTTCGCCGGACCGATACAAGGCAGGAATTACTTAGTTGTTGTAGATGCTTTCACAAAATGGCCGGAAGTATATGACATGCCGAATACGACTTCAGAGAGTACCATAAGAAGATTGTCAGGATTGTTTGCCTGTTTTGGGGTTCCAGAGATCTTAGTGACCGACAATGGTACTCAGTTTATGTCATCCGCCTTCAAACGCTTCTGCAACGAGAATGGCATATTGCATCTACAATCTCCTCCATACCATCCTCAGTCGAATGGCCAGGCAGAAAGATTCGTGGATACAATTAAAAGAGCTCTGGTCAAAGGGGGAGGTGAGGGTATCCCGGAACAAGTGATTAATAAGTTCTTGATGTCTTACAGAGTTACCCCTAATCCGGCAGTACCAGAAGGAAAGTCTCCGGCCGAGTGTATGCTCGGAAGGAAAATCCGGACAGTTTTTAACAGTATGTTGCCGCCCAGAAAGACAAATAAACCCACGAATGAAAATCGTAAGGTCAATCGTAGCTTCCAGGTGGGTGAAAAGGTACTTGTCAGATCGTATTAAGGTAATAGGAAGTGGGAACCAGGTGTCATAGAACGTCGAATCGGAAATGTGCTGTACCCAGTCCGGAAAGATGTCGGGAAATGCATAAGACATATAAATCAAATGCAAAGAAATGATAGTACAGTGGTCACAGAAAACCGACTGCCATTTCAATTGCTCGTAGATTCGTCGCAGAAGAACCATCATGAGCGCAAATATCGAAAAGACAAACGACGCAGAGAGAAAGCTGTACAACCCTCGAGAGTAATGAACCGCAAGAGGAATGCGACACTCAAGCTTCAGGTGGATCCAAGAAAAAAATCTTACACAACGGACTTTAAAGGGGGGAGGTGTGACGACGGACCACCGGTGAACTCGAGGAAGCTGTAAGAGGCTCAGAAGGAGCCGAAGACGTTCCATCCAATCACCCTTCGGAGGAATGTTCTAGAATTCCAACGTGTAGCTTCCCGATTGGATAATGCTAATAACCCCCTGTACGCGGATTGGAAGACTGTAATGATGATTTTGTTCTCACTAAAAACTATAAATACCTGACAATTTTGTACTATGTTTGACACTGTTTGGAATAATATTCCTTTCGTTAGTCTTCTGTCTTCTTATTGCGACTTGGAAGGGTTTGGTGTTCTAGTGCTCGGTTATACGCGGTAGTATCAAGAAAAATCAGCTTTTTCAAGTTATAACACATCTAATAACGATCTATTACAAACACTAATTCAATATGAAGATGCTGAACATAGTAATGGACAACTGTCTACTAGATATGTAGGTATGTTCAATGAATATATGATTTAAGGTCATAAAAAGTGTATTCAACAAAACTGATGGTACATTTATTATTATTAAAATACTGCCCATTCATGGCATTACAATTGTCCTATGTCCATTCTAAGAAATACTTCGTTCTTTTATGTTTTCTTGACTTAACATTATTCCAGTGTAAAGATGATTCTTTTTTCAAAATCGAATGTAAGACAATGATCTAAATAGTGTGGCAACAAAGTAAAGCAATTAATCATCTTGGTATTTAAGTGATAACAACGGACTAACTCATTTACAAGATTATATATACATAAAATAGCTTTCTTCCAGGTCTCAAAATTATTGAAAAAGCGAGAAATTTATTCCCCGATCCAATCAACAGAGAGAAAACAAAGAATACATGGACAGTTCTAGGTACTTTTTCTATACATGGAGAATCCATATTCAGGACACAAGTTCCATGGAACTTCAGTTAATTGTAAATGTTTAAATACTTATTAGATATAATTCTTTTATAATAATCACTGTTTTACTCTGAATTCGACAATGAATAACAATCATTATACATTTCTTACCATACACAATTGTATATTATTATTAATTAAATTATGGATAAATTCTGGAAGCAATGGATCAAATTGAATACGATAATGTAAATGTTCAATATTCTGCCAATTTACAATGTCTTGTACACGTTTAGTTAATCTTGATTGTTTTGGATTTGAACCTTGATAATTGGGGAAAAAAAAATCAAAAAAAAGAAGTAATAAAAGAAACAAAGAAGTAATCTTATTGAAATTACAATTTGTTATGTAGTATATTTGGCTAATCAAAACAATGAATACTTCACAATGGATTAGCTAAACGATAAGATAAACTATCCAATAGGAGTTATTCAGATTATGGTACAACCAAGAATGAAAGGTTGAGGGAAAAAAAAGACTCGATTAATGAAGTTACGCACTTTGAGACGTTGTGTTATAATGTAGATGTTTTTTTGCTCAAATTTAGTCATCATCTCCAATCCATCACAATAGAAGAATAAATGTACAGAAAGTTTAAGGATTATAATTCTTTTTTCAAGTGAATAGCTATGATGACCTATAAAAACAGACCAAATGAATAATTAAATTGAATCATATAGTTTGATACATTGATTTCTCTATATGAATTAGTAACCATTCGTTCACTCAGTCAGTAACTATCATTGATTATTTTAAAATGAAATTTTGTAGAGATAAAAAAAAGCAAACACTGTAACATACCTAATTTAGGTATTGATATGTTTTTAATTTGTTCATGGAAATCTTCACGTTCATAGAATAATAAATATGCACTCCACCAACGTTTACCAGATCTTAAATGAGCAAATTTTGACAGATCATGAGGTGGAACTTTCCATTCACCACCAAACCACTGATCGACAGCCTCTTCATCTTTATCTAACCGAACAGGGATAACCTTGAGTGTATAAGAAACAACGGAGTAGATAAAAAAAGACAGTGAATAGAGCAAATTTCTGAAATGAAATAGAAACATAATACCACATAGTCAACGTCAGTTAAAATTATCACCAATTCATCCGTCATTAGTTGAATAAAGAAGTGCTTATTCATCTATTATATATGGAGGTTAACCATAAATCTGTAGAATTGAACAGAGTAAAAACAAAGGTTGGTAGAGGTCCGATTCGATTCTAAAACCGGACCGTGTGTAGTGCGGTCTAACCGAGCCTTCATCACATGTTGGCCCTGGGTTCCTAATCAACTACTAATTGTACTATATCCATGATGATATACGGTCTCAGGTGGTCACCGAGGCACCATCAATCGATGAATTACTTTGAATGACTGTCTAGCTCCAATGGAGTCAGTCATCCGACTAGTGGATCACAGTTGCCACAGAGGCTTCTACAGCCAAGTTAAAGAGTGGACAACGGCAACACGATAATAAAAAAATTTCTCAACCAGCTGAATCCATGCACACCACTTGAGTGCAATTCGCATTTCTTCGTAATCTTGTTAGATATTCAATTTCAAATCATCTGTTAAAGTACAGTAGCCAAGACGAATTTTACTTTCTAAAAATAACGTCCGCACTCTTGACTCACAGTTGATGACGATAAATTTGCCGTCCTCTTTAAATAGGCGTCCTGAGATAATACTTCTATATTCTAGATCTGATGAACATTTTATCGTTATGTGCGATAACACGTTGTATTCGCTGACGCTATCAACTTCACAGTCGGCACATATGCTCGTTTGACCAATGTATTTTACTTTCACTATTGCTATGAAATTCGTTACTACTAGGTGTGACCCCATAACTGTATGCCTTTCTAGTACCTTAGTGTTCCCAGCCATCAATTCTCTCTATAAATACGAAGTCAGTTAACATTAAATAGTTCGAAAAAAAGATTAAACAGGCTGGAAATGTAATAAGATCGATCTTAAAATACACTCAGTCAGCCAGCTACAACGTAGGAACAGATACACATATGCATCGGCCCAAGTTGCCGTACCTCATTAGCACAACAAGATAAACACCTGATTCATAGAAGTAGTTAATTCAGTGGTGGTAATATATAAGAGAAAGACTTCATATAAGGACATAGTACAGGAAGAAAGAATTAGTTCGTAGAGAGAAAGATATGAAGCGATTTTAATCTGAAGGCGAAGTAGTACTGCTCACTGTACAGAGGTGTGACAGCAGTAAGGTGTTTCCTTCAGACAACCAGCATGACAGCGATGCTGCCTTTCCACAAGGAGGGGTGGGGTTAGAAAAGATCGACCCTAAAAATGCACACCTCGCCTTATCCCATGGATATCCGTCCCCGGCGGTAAGGTCTCAACAAGTACGGAGCTAACACAAAAATTACTCATAAAAAGGTTGTGAGGGACCGACCTCAAGCAGTTGTCCCTTAGACACTCTCTCAGGTCACTAAGACCACCCCTAATCCAATTTCCTGTCCGGGCACCTCCAGAAGAACCCTTTCACGGTGTGGGCAACCGGGAAGTGACAACCGCCGTCATACTTCTAACAGCACTCAAGACCATTGTATTCATAATCAACCTCTCTCTTCAATTCCTATTATTGCTCCTACATTGAATTTCAAAGGTAAACTTAAAATACACTCTAAGCTCCTTTATCAAAACTGTCAATGAAAATTTCTAAGGCTAATACAAGATAGAAAGGTTGAAAACTTTATACTTTTTCATTTGTTCCCAAGTCGGAAGTCCACTTTATTATTATTATTACTTTAACACATAGATATTGGTACAAGGAGGCACCGAATACATATACGCCACAAAAATCTCATTTCATATGTGTGAGGACAATGATACTACCCGGGTGCTCAAACCGAAGCAGGTGGTTTTCTTAAGGAGCCACACCCCGAGCCTTCGACCTGAAGATCTGATCCCCAAAACAGTGGAGCATCGTAAGGAGATGCAGTCCCATGGAAGCCGGTGACCAATAATTGGTTATTACGCCATTTGTTCCCGTAGGATACTGGAGCCCATGTGCACTATTGGTTTGGAATCCGGTTAAAGCGCCAGACATTCGCTTTTCGTCCTCTCATTTTCGTAAACAACACCCTCGCCACGAGAAAGCAGTGAGTAGAACTTCCCTGGCAGAGGTTATATACGCATGACCATGTGACAGCATTCGGAGAGGGAGAGCGGACTCTCCTCACTCTCGGCCGTACCAGGGCATTTGGGGGCTAAGTCCACTTTAAATTCTTAATACTTGTTTAAAACTAAATATAATATGAAAACTTATTGTTATGGTTTCTAAGCTAAATTATTTCTATCTCTTTTTTATACTTTTAATTACCATATTTTATTTAATCTATCAGAACTGTTTATCATATTCTTACAACAAAATCAACGTATAATTTCATCTATATGTAAGAAAGAAAAATTGATCAATCTAATAAGTTATGCATATGCAACATGTATGTGATTAGTTACTATGGTAAAGGAAAAAAATATATAATGAAACAAACATGGATTCAATCAATGATGATAACAGTTTGATGAGAAAAAAGAAATGTAGTTGCATAAAATAAATGAGTCTACATTCTTCCCATTGATTTTCTCCAACTGTGTAACATAGAAAATATTTAGTAAGATCAAATTGTTACTATGAGTAAAATTAATGAATATGAATCAATAGGTATAGAAATACTAACGAGTAATTTAATTTAGACAAAAAAAATTAATTTTCAGAAAGAACTATTTACATAATTAAATTTAGTTGAGATAATCTTGTTCTAATAATAGACTCCTTCTTGACAGTGAGGTTAGATGATTATCACACCATAAAGTGAATATATTCAAATTGGGAATGTATAGAGGTAGATGTCAAATCAGACGTCGAATGCCTAAGCATTCATCGCGAAATATGAAGGTTCGGTGTTTGGTTATTGACACGAATGTAAGTGCGTATGATGAGAAGTTGTATACAACAACAACAACAGCAACAACAACAACAACAACAACAACGACAACGACAACAACAACAATGACAAAGCAACGATCTAATCCTTTCTGGTTTCGATGATTATCTTAACTACAAATATTTATTTATCGGCAGCATAATACACATGATAAGATTATAATACAAAGATATTCTTGTTGAGTGACTCCACTTTGAGTAACCAATGAAATAATAACCCTACCAAAATAACTTTTATATCGTCTTTCATTAAAGAAAATATGTGATCACATAACCATATCACTAAAATAAACAATTTAGGATCTAAGTAACAATTTTTTTTCATATTGAAATAGATTATATCATCGACTTATGTCAACCAATAAAATCAAATCACAAAAAAATAATCATTAGATAAGATGGTAGTTGGAGTTAATCAACAGAAAACCCTCCACCAACCACCATCTTATCTCAGCATAGTGAACGCAATGTCAAGTCACTTAGACTAGTGATCATATTGCAATTTGGTTGATAGCATTCGATCTACACTAAGAACAACCTGACACACAAGACATTGATCACCACCCAGTGATCAAACAATTGTAAAAATAATCTTCATTTTGATTGTTCACAATGAGAATGATTAGTAAAGGATTGTTGTATTTTTTACAATCAGAGTAGGAATTTGTGAAGATTGTAGTAATTTTAATAGGTGAGTTCATGAGTCAATTTAAGCTAGACAAACAATAAAAACTTGGAAGTACTGGACGACCATTTCGTCTTAATATTTCAATATGCTTACTAAGGAATAATTAGTGAAATAAATATGAACTTACATTATGATCATCATATTTATACCATTTGAATGTTTTTGTTCGAGGTCGATAATGTCGAACAAATGAATAATAATGTCCAGATGATGCTTGACCACTATGAACAACTACACCGCGCAAATTATATTTCGTACATGGATTATTATCATCAGTATTATTATTATCATTGGTGTTATTGATGACATCAGTAGTTATACAGGACGATGAATCTGTAGAGTCTTTTAAACCTTGCACAGTATATGGTAGCATATCCAAATGACGTGGAAATTCACAATAATTATTAAATTTAAGTGATACACCCCTATGTAATAGAAATGTAGAATATGTTAATGGTTAAATATAGTAATTATGATGAGAAGGCAAAAGAAACAAATAAAGAAGATTGGGAAAGACAGATCGAGGAAAATACTTCTGCATACTCAATTCATTGTAATAAAAAGATTTTATGATGGTTATCTCAGGAATGATAAATTACGACAATAAGGAAAGAAATAAGTATTTCAATTGTTGTAAGTAGTATTGCCAAGCAATTTAGATAATTTAGTGAGCAAGAATTAACCAATGATGTTTTTGTCAGTTTCTTTATTCTATCATTTCGTTATGTAATAATGACAATTCAAATATCCGGATAAATGCTGTCCAATCATATGACTCATTTTCTGGAGGGAAGAGGTTTACATTAATTGGTCAGAAGTTCGTAAGTAATATCATACTACCTATTTCATTAATGTTGACTAGATTTGATAGATCAACTTAGAAATACAACCAACAGAATAAGCCCCTTGATATAATAATTCACCTTCCTGATGCTCAGTGATCAAAACTAGTCAGTATGAAATTTTAGATTTCATTCTACATGATCTTTGATATTCATTTGTCAATAAGGCTTAGAGGTAACATGAATGATACTGTCTACTTCTATACTCAGTATAATTTAAATTTATACACAAATGAAAAAGTAGGATCTATGATTTTAAAAGTTTAGTGGTGAACTTTATTTGTAGCCTTGATGATACACTTTATTAATTGTCTGATAACTCATCGTCACAATGTTAAAACTAGATATTAGATGGCTAAAAGTAGTAGATAGGTTGAAATCTCACACAAGAAGCATAAGGATTTCCTCCAGAATAGCTCCAACCAACATAAATCAAACAAATAATGTATGCAATATCCAGCTAATTAGACTAGTCGCTCCCTTGAAAATTGATCGGTAGAGTACGATCAGTACAAAGAACCTTATAAACAAAATATTGCTTACTAATCACTGGCTTAATCGGTGTAAATCTTAGTTAGATATTTAAAAACTCGAAAATGGCCTAAGATTTTTAATCACCGTTAATATATAATTAATCAGATGGCTGGCTTATGTTGTGTTGCTGTGTTACTCCTAATGAAGCATAGGCCGCAGACCAGCATTCTCCAACACACTCTGTCCTGGGCCTTCTTTTTTAGTTCCATCTAATTCTTGTTCTGGCTGGCTTATGGTTTTATATTTTCACAAATCTCTTTGATCTAAGATTTAAGGGACCAAGTTAGTCCTCTAATAGAATGAATGTTTAAACTATTCATCTTACTCTCAAAAATACTACGATAATACGTTCATACGACAATAAGACTAGTCAGGTTATATCAGAACCATGATTTATGACCTGGAATAGAGAACACGATTAACACTAGATAACACTTTGTTTAATACAATTAAAAGCGATCACACATAACTAATAGTCGTAGGCTATGTCTGTTTGCCCAGGTTCAGTGATCGACTACATTTTACGTTCACTACGATACATCATCCTTTCATTCTGAACCATTCAGGAGAATCGATGGATTGGTCAAATGAATACTAGTAAGAGAGATAGTTCATTGGTTTTATATTTATATGTACAACCTGATTGATCATCTCTATCATAACGTGAAATAAATGAAAGCAAAATAATGAAAATCCTTGAAAAAGAAAACAATGAATCCACTTACCGTTCCCAATCATAATCGAAACGTTTCAATTGAATAGTTAATACTAATGGTAATTTTTGAATACACATACGTTTTAATATTGGTATTTTTTTATTGCACATTCTACAATGATATGCATTATCTCCTTCTAATAATTCACCTTTTACATATTGTTCCAATGAATCAATTAGATTTCTATGATCTAATATATCAACATTTAGTGTAGTAAACGATTCGTAACTTGTATATCTAAAGAGAAAAAAAATAATGAAAGAAAAGCTTAGTATACTCAGAGAATTCCAACTTTCAGAAAATTATCTTGTTGAGCAACAAATATTGTTCATCACAGGACTGGACGACTTTTGTTGGTAGAGATATTCATGGTTCGGCATTATTGCAAAATAATATTGATAAATATTATCTGAACGCTTGAATCCCTTCCCTAAGCTCTTCTAGTAACTACAGGCTAAATCCACACGACAACTTTAGCACAAGAGAAAAAACGCAAAACAAGGAACACTCGCTTTTCCCCAAAGTAAGTTTCTATACAGAAAATCGAGGGTATTTGTAGCATTTCAGATGGTTTTGAGCTTCTGTAACCCTACTAAACATAGTACCAAGATAAGTAATCATTCAGTCAAAAGTGTGACCCGTGAATTTTCACTTTCCAGATGTTTCTGAGATGCCTTTGTTCAGTGCTTATTGGATCAAGTGCTTCTCAGTGTTTTTAAGGCCCTCTGTGGGCCTTTTTTAAGGATCCATCCAACAAATATTTGACTCGTTTACCAGATCAGATTTGTTGTACTGGGTTACGAATTACACTAAAGGTTTCAAGACTATTAATACCACTAGATACTATTCAAGTTCTTTACAACCTGAAAGTACAGCTCAACCATGTGGCTCAATTACATAAGAACCCTGATGAATAATAAACTAGAATAAGATAACTGTTCGATGTTCAACAAACTTTAATGGCTTTTCAGTTAATAATCAAACAGAGTATAAAATAACTTATTTTGAAAGTCATACAACATAATTACATCACTAAAATCTGAGTTATTTGTACACAGATTACGCTTCATTTCGCGATCAAAAAAAATATCCAGCCAGCCACAAAAAAGACGTAAAGTCTAGGGAAAGTTTGAGTCAGTTGAAATTCTGCATAACACACTAGCACAATGAGATGAATAGCAAAAGAGTCGATAAAATATAACGGCGACGGTAATATGAAAGATTAAATAATGAGAATATAGTTCGAAAAGACTAAATGCAAAGGTATATTTGAAAAAAAAACTGCAACTCGAGATTTAAGGGACAATAAAGAGTGAATAGATTTAGAACGTTGTGACCGATTGTAAATCATATCACATAATACTTCTAAAGAATGATCGTTGTTTATGTGCTGTTTCTAACTAGGTAATCTAAATATGTTAGATGGGTGAACAAGGGATCAACTATGACTTCACGATAAACTAATAGATGTTCAAAGATATTAGATGATTGATCAAATTGCATAAAATCAATATAAACTTACCGATGTGGACAATCCAAACAGATCTTTTGATCGGCAAATTTACCACCTAACACAACATCAACAATTTTAGGCAATTTACATAATTCTAAAGCTTCATCCAAATCATTACCGAGTATTTGAAAGAATTCCAATGCATCATGTTGTTCTCCAACATGTACAGCTTCTGCACGAAATCTAGTTATTGTTTTTATGAGGAGAAAATGAAAAAAAAGTATATAAGATATATTCATTTTTCATGGTGGTCTAGCTTTTATTGACTCATGAACTCAACTATATAATTGTGTATCAATATAATGAGTTAAATTGCAATGTAACTTATTTAGTGGTTTAATAGTGATTGAACGATGAATGGTATCTCTTCTAATAAATATAAGGATGTCCAAATAGTACATGACATCAATCATTATGCTTGTAGCTTTTAGGCTTAATGATGCTACATATGTTGGGTAAAGAGAGGTTAGACTAAAAGAACTAACTTAAAGTCTGAGGGTGAAGTTTGTACATCGACGTGATTAGAGTCAGGGACTTTCCTAAGACAACAAGAGTCCCAAAGGGTTTTATTTTCTCACAAAAGGAGATATTAGAAAAATCCGACGTTGAAAATTCACTATCGATTTTGAAAGTAATCTATCAGAATACTGAGTTATCAATGACAGGTTTCTGTTTAGTGAAGACGTTGACAAAATGAACAGTTTCTTTATCCCCACAAAGAACAATGTAAAATGTTGATTTATGACTGATTTGCGTCATCTACTAAATTGATCATCAGGAGAAAAAAAAGTTGAGCAGATGGGTCAGTTCATTTATCGTGGAAGTCTTATAAACCCTGGTTAGTTGAAATTTGTCAAAATCTCAGCACGGATTCAGAAAGTTCTCCTATTTTTCGCCAAATTCTACCATTTATGATATGGGCAAAATTTTCGTCTTACGATGAAGAAACAAGTATAATGTGTAGGAAGTAGTATTTCACCTTATTACTGTGAAAAATGACTTAAGAAAGTTAGATGATTTACTTCTTGCTTACCTTTAGACTATGATTTTTCGAATTATTTTATAAATTTTGGTTAGATTAATTTATACTTTATTTCTCGAATCATTTCCATTTTCTATCATGATATTCATCAGTATGTTTTCGGAAACTTGATTGTTCTTCAATTCATTACTGATGGAATAAATATTAGTCAATCATTATTCTTTAAATAAGAAAGATCAGTTCAGCGAAAATGAAAATGAATTCTCCGAAAAGAGAACTCTTCGCTGAACTAATCTTTCTTTTTTATTTAATGTCATAATGGGTATATTCCGTTTATTAAAAGATCAATACTCTGTTGGAAAATATAATCTAGACATAATTTATATCTTTTACAAACCATATGAAACACAACCAGGAAGTTTGCAACAAAGTACGATTCACTAACTAACCAGGATAATAAAACAGAGTAGATGATATTAGAGTATATGCTTCAAAATATAGCACTGTACATGCATTCTTACTCTGTAGATAACTTTAATAAAATACATGTATAACAGATGCATGACCATTTAAATTGTAGGCCGTAATAGTGCGATCGTAAATCAATACACAGTTCAATATTTCACAGTATACTTGTTGTGAGAAAGATAGACGGATATCTTATCTATGCTACAAGTAGTAAGTAAGCGATCTAAATTCAAGTGAACATTTATCATCTATTCAGACTTAAATCACATTAACTGCTGAATTACATAGATTGATTGACTACATTTCTCATACAGCAAATACAAATATCCCTCTTAAATTGTAATGGAATCAGAAAAAAGAACAAAACAATGGAAAGACAGAATACAGACAAACAAGTAATCAATATCTGTTCGATGAATATGACCCAACAATAAAGAAACTTACTTAAAATGACGCCAAAATTCTACTGGTGCATAATATTTAACACGACTATAAGCTAAATGTCCAAAAATAGTTTGCATATGATATAACACATTTAGATGATGAATGTTTTCTTTACTTAAAGGTTGAAATTCTGACTCTTTTGATGTTTGATCATCATGAGTTGTTGTTGTTGTTGCAGTGTTATTTTTCAATTCCTCATTCTTTATAATAAAAACAAAATATATAAAAAGTTATTTAGAAAATTATAGACAATAGTAAAACCAGGTTTAAATAAATAACAGTTCCAATAGAACAGAGCGGAGTTTTATCAAAATATAACTTACTTTTTTATATGAAGGATTACTATTTATAATTTTAATAATATTATGAATAAAAGCTCAATCTGTTGTATTGTTATATCCTCCTATTTCTAAACTTCCACTTGACTAATAGTCAGTCAGTCAGTCACTAACAGCTTAGAATTTAGTATGTACGTACATCAGTTCGAGTTGCCATACCACATTAGCACAGAGACGCAGGTGTCGATTCAAATCCCGTAGTTGTAGAGGTAGTAGAAGTATAAGCAGTAATCGGAAACATTACGGTTTCAACATGTTATTCAACCAGTATAATACAGTGAAATAAGTTTGGAAAGACAAAAAAGAAAGGGACATGAAGAATTCAGAAGATTAGAATTTGGGAGAACACAGAGAGTGGATGCACCTGCGCCATTGCAAACGATTTTGAGCCATGTCATTCAGGGTCTCTAACTATCGGTTGCTATCGTCTCGCGGATCCTCACTTGACCAGTAAATCGTCGTCATATATCGTATTATTTCAAACATCACTAATCAACTATTTCCCTGTTCTTTCACTTTTCTATCACATATGACTAAATTATCACAAGCACTGTAATTCCTATTTGTGCTGATGTGTAGTTAAACATTCCACGTATATTATTTCATGGGTATTGATTGATAATTGAATACAGTACAACTGAAAATTGATCTGATTCCTATCTGTGTTTTCTAATTAGTCATTGGGTTAGGAGAAGACGGACGACCAATAATGGTCAAGGTCTTGATTGTTGTTCATAAGTCGGTGTATCGATTTGTAAAACCGATGGTCACCAGTCCCACTGGTAATATAAATGAACTAGTAGGTGCTTAGGTTAGAGAGCGAATACATAAATGCTCTCCTGTAATAATGGCCTGACCACAGGAGCGGTTTTCTCGATAATGTTTAATCTAAGCTGTCATATGTAACATCAACACATAGAAGGAAATAAAAGATACAAGAAAAGCAAAAAATAGGTGAAAATAGTTATAGTATGTATAGCAGCCGTCCGATGCTTCCAGGTTTTTGATGGTGGTCTGACGTCAATCGGTTCATGATTTCAATCGAAAACTTAATAATCTTCATAACCCATACTGATAAATTATATAGTTCCACAATGAACAAATGAGAATGTAGAAAAACGAAGAATGCGTAAACACAGAATTCAAATAATTTCAACTTCTTACATAACAGGACAGAAAAGAGAAAAGAGGTAGAAAATGAGAAGGTAAAAATGTAAACAATAAGGAAATAAGAGGGTCGAAAATAATATATAGAACTATAATGATGGTGATATTTCATGAAATCTAGGCGTAGTCAAAGATCTAATTCATATACATTAATGCAACGATATAAATGACTACAGATATACCATTCCGATTAGTGAATAATGAGTGTAAGTCGAAAAAAATACCACGAAGTTACACAACTAAACTCTGAAAAAAATTAGTGTTACCATATCATTATCTGAATGTAGTATCACTAACTTCTCTCCGTAACTTTAACCTTACATAATAGTTCTATGTATAGACATTCTATCCGTGAAATTATATAATATACAGCAATATGTTTATGTACTGAAATTTTATCAACAATGTGTGATGCATAGCGCTACTGTCCAGTTGTTACTGTTTAAACCGAAATAGGAAAAAGACAATTAAAAACTGAGATATACAGTGTACACGTTCAATTAAATTAACTCATAAAACTACTTGTTATTATAATTCATAGCTAAAAATGTTAGATTCAGCTAACTAGTCAAATAGTTCTTTGAGTAATATCGACTAATAGACAGTGATCATTTAAATAAAAACAGTATGATATGATTAAACTCACTAATCTTTGTTGACAAATATTGTCAGCGATATCATCACTGGAGATTGGTAAAGTTGTAGGTGCAATTGAAGTATTTATCACTTTCGAAGCTTCTTTATCTATCAACAACTTATAATCTAACAGTAGAGATTCTGGATTTGCACTAAGTACACAATCACGAATTGGATCCAATGTAAACAACTGTTGTATAATAGAATTCATATAACATGTAGCTCCACCATTTTTCAAACCAACAAAACGATGTGTAATACTTATATCATTATCATTACGATTATAATTGCTATAATCATTATTAGTCCAATTATTTTTATCAATATGGTCAGAAAATATTGATGATAATAATGATGTTGAATTATTAGAATTTAATCCAAAATTATAATTCCAGTTGAAATTCATAGGTCTTGCATTTGCTAAAATATTAATAAATGATATGTTTTTTTCAATTACGAATAATTTATATTTATTTATTCATTTAAACACATAGATATTGTTACAAAGGGGCACCGAATACATATACGCCACAAAAATCTCATTTCATATGTGTGAGGACAATGATACTGCCCGGGTGTCAAGACCGAAGCAGGTGGTTTTCTTAGAGGGCCACACCCGGAGCCTTCTACCTGAAGGTCTGATCCCCAAGGGAGTGAAGCGAAGTAACGAGATGCAGTACCATGGTAGCCGGTGACCAATTATTGGTTCATACGCCAGTTGTTCCCTCAGGATCCTGGAACCCATGTGCACAATTGGTTTGGAATCAGGGTTTTCCAACTCCCCTAAGTGAATCCTCCATATCTACCAACCGGTTTAAAGTGCTGGACATTCACTTTTCGTCCTCTTAATTTCATAAACAACAGTAATGCCACTAGAACGCAGTGATTAGGACTTCCCTGGTAGTGGTTGTATGCATGTGACTATGTGAGAGCATTTCGAGAGGGAGAGCTGACTCTCCCCAGTCTCGGCCGTACCAGGGCATTTGGGGGCTATTGATAGACAGAAGATCAATAATAACTATAGCTATAAGAATATTACCTTATATAATGAAAGCTAATTACCTCTCAATATTTAGGATTATTCCTCTTAAACAAACATATATACAACATAGTTATGCATAATCATTAATGATGTTAAATATGATGTAGGTTTTAAACTTACTGGAAAAAATCAAATCATACAGCATAGTTGTTAATAATTGACTATTTAATGAATTACATTTAGTTATGGATAGAAGAAAATCAAAAGTTGAATTCATTAATTTTCTTGAACATGATAAATGTGATGTAGATAATGGAGAATAAGAATTATGATTAATAATGTTATCGTTTATATTGTTATAGTCATAATTCACTATGTGATGCTGATTATTGATTTGTGAGCATATTGTAGACTTACGTATTTCGTTATATTGTTTTGAAGCGGGAAATAATAAAAATTCAATTAAGTCCTATAAATAAGAAAAGTTAAAATGAGAATAACGATCAATCATAGTGTACTACTTACCGAAATTAAGTAGTTGGACATAATTCAATTTTTAGATAATGAAGTAGGAACTATACCATGTATTTTAAAGTTGTTATTATATATATACGTCTAGTGTAAGGAAAAAAATTTTGAACACGTTTTTTTTAATTTCGCATAGGTACGGCTTCAAAAAACCAGTGTTCGCCCTATATAAACTTGATAAAGAGACTACATTCAGATTTATCTTATGAGCGGTTACACGTTTGTGTTCGTTTCGTATTTGTATGGAGTGACACCGTTTTGAATATTATAGAAAGCTTTATTTGTAGTTATAATACAACAGCGTTTACGTGAATTTACAGTGTTTTCCTGACTTTAATTTTTGGTTCATTCGTAGCTACTAGAGTGAGTATCGGATAGATTCGGTAATTTTTGAAGCCTACACTATACTCAATAGTATTAATATTATTCTGGTCGTTTATTATCTATTCTTACTAAGCTAACTTCGTTAGTTATTATAACCATCGTAAAATACGAGACACTTGGTTCTCCAAATAAAATATCTGAGGCAAGGTCAAAACTTGTAATATACAAGTCGAAGGACTAGTCTCCTGGCAGTTTATGCACTTCGTTTCAGTTGACCAGTCTCCTTTTACGCTCTACCATTTCCCAACTAATCAGGTGATAGAATAGTTTTCGTCTCTCTACCGAAGACAGTTAAACTCAATTCTTACTCACTCATTTCTAGCCTCAAAGTTAAACTAGTTAGCATATGGCATCAAGGCCATAATCTAGATCGAGACAGATTCTCTCCTGTATATTATTGGGTAAACAGATCAAGGACATAGCATCTTTTTACCATAACTACTAAAATATTAAGTTAATAGGGAAGAATAAAACTTACTTTAACTAAATATAATTGATTTATTAAATAATGTGATATATTGTTATTATATTGTTGATCAGTAGTATTTAGAGTTTCCGATGTAGTACTTATGCATTTAACGTTATCATTATTGTTTCTATCACCACTATTTACAATGTTCATTGGGAAGTCGTTTATCTGTCCTGATATTTGTTTCATTTGGTCAAACAGTTGATCAGTACAGTCTTCGCTCGCTAACAATTGTAACGATGAATTAGTAGAATGTAGAAAACATTGATATAACGATTTGCAAATTCTCAAGTGTCCACAAATTAAGGAATCTTTGTCCTCAGTTGACATATTATGAAAATGATGAACAATGGTATCTGGTCTAAGGCATGCAGTGAATCTTATCCGTTCTTTGTTTAGTGATGATTGATCAGTGGATTTTGGAGTTGTAGCACAGTGGAAAATCGGTGGAGTGATATCAACAGACGGATAAGAAATAGGTGTTTCACATGATCCTAATTGACGACCAGTAATCTATCAGATAAAAATGAAGAAATAATATGTAGTACATATGGCTGATCAGAAGTTAGAGCACACTAACATCCACAGTCAGATACCATATTATTTGCGAACTCATTTAAAAATATGCGTTAAAAAGTTTAGATGAGAAGAGAATGTGGAACTTTTTATGATAATCTTATTGAATGGGGCTTGAAATTAATCTCAATCAGTTATCCTAGTAATTTGACTACATATTTCTTTCTCATAACATAAGTACGATAGAAACCGTCTCATTGATATCTAGCCAACAATATATAGAGTTGCCAAATTTTAGAGCACATGATTTTAAAAAAAATCGTTTTGAAACATCCATTGCGTTTGAGCACAGTCTAATTTTTACTTTGAAGCAACTGATCATGGTCTTTAGATGGCACTAACAGACTTGTAAAAGAACAACTGTCTTCGTCGCAGATGATTATACACTGTTAGATAACTGTAATTTGCACCAAAAAAGCACTTCTACTATAAGCCACAGGTAAGAAAGTAATAAAATTATGAATATAGGCAATATTGACTGGTAAGTTCGATGATTCTATAACCCAACAACGTTGATCAACTTCATTCTGAAATATTTACACCAGGAAAAATACGAATTTCTAGAAATAATAATAACAAATGCACAGTACACTTTAAAAGAAAACGAGCTTTTCAACATTACGATTATACCATTATATGTTTTGTGAACATTTTGAGTCAAAAAGACTTTGTGTAGATACGATAAACAACCATGTTCATCAGGTTCGGTTATCAACGGAGATCGAGTTCAAGTTCAAAAGTGAAAAACAACAAATGTCAAACACAAATTCATAGTATTCAGATATGAACCACTAGCAAGACAGTAATTGTTCCTCCTCTTAAAATCTTATAATCACATTGAAAGACAAGAATGCCAGAAAACAACGTTGTGAAGTTTTAGATAACAAATAACTGAATGTGTGTTATTACGGGACGAACACTGAAAACTTCAAACTTCCAAGAGAATTTTACGATGATTATTTATTATTTTCTTGCATAGTAGATAGAAGCTGGCTGCTGACTCCCCTTAGAACTCAATACAAGGGAATGATGAAAAGCTTGTAGATAGCGAACCAAAAAGAATATATACGAATGAAAATGAACATGGTGAGCTAACAATTTTAGATTGCTTAGTGAAAAGAAATCTAAATAGAATTCTAAATCCATCCATCTACCGTAAACCTACACACTAATCGTTATATTGACTTCAATTCAGCACATCCCTTCAGTGCAAAGATCTTGTTAGCCTTAAATCTTTTTAAAATAGCTAACAAGATAATCACATCAGAAGAGGATAAACAAAAGGAAAAAAAATGTAATTAGTATCTTACAATTTAATAATTTTCCTATGAAGATTATTAGAAGTATATTAAGACGAGACGTTTCATTGTGTAATAATGATAATCCGAATGAAATAACATAGATTAATACTGTAGTTTTACCATACCATCATGGCACAACAGAAGAACTCCAAAGAATCTTAAAACAACACAAAATTAAAGTATATTACAAAACAACCAACACACTTCGAAATACTGTAGTTCGGTCAAAAGAAAAAATCGCATTCATGTCAACACAGAACGGCGTCTACAAATCAGGTTGTGTCGATTGTGATGTCTTCTATATTGGACAGTCATCTCGCGAAATTTTGACTCGTTCCGAAGAACATATCAGGTACACAAAAAAACCTCGTTATAATCCCGTAGAGCTGGACAGATTTCAAATTAAATCGGCAATAGCAGTTCACACCACTTTCAACGACCACCAAATCGACGTCAAAAATATTAAAATATCCTTGTTGTTCCGTTGTACTGTTTAAACTTGGATTAATCTCGGTTCGGTTATTTACTCTCTGAGGAAGTGGCTTAAACTAAGTCTCGAAACGTTGGAAAATCTAATTTTTCTACTCATTGAGATATCACAAATATGCCATTTATTTACAATGTTAAACGTACAGATCGGACGTTCATTAAGTCTTAAATACTAAACTAAAGAGGAAAAAGTAGATTCGGAACAGCAAATAGAATTAAAATTGGAATTTTGATTAGTAAATTTAGAACATGATATCAATTAGCACCTCAAGATATAACTCTTTCTATATAGAGTATGTATTTTTACTAACTTAAAATCATAATGGGAAAACAATTAAATTATCTGCAAAGATGGATAGTGGATAACAGTGGGATCCAGGACGTGCGTTTCGTCCTATTTGGGACTCGTCAGCTCGATGGACCTGCACCGCGGAGTTGATGTTCACTCTGGGGCTCGAACTCTGTACTGATTTATACAAAGATAGAATGATTTATCCAACATGATCATTTAAACGAAGGACGATAAATATAGAAGTACAAAAATTTCCATATACCTACTTAATCGACAAACAGTCGAATATAAATAATTAAGTAATCACTTCTTATAAATGATGTAAACAAATTATCATCTAATGAAACCACCAGTAAAAAAAACTGTAATTAAACAAAAACAAACCATTAATCGAAGCCAGACAATTTCATCTCTAAGCCATTGATGCGCACTTTGTAAAAATTGTTCATGATTATCCATAAATGGAATGATTTGAACAAGTAAATTAAAATATTCATCAGATTGTGTTATTTTCGATGGAACATAATTCTGAAATAAAAATTTTTGATATTTGCTATGAATCAAGTCAATCGGATATATATATATATATATATATATATATATATATATATATATATATATATATATATATATATATATATATATATATATATATAGCTATTAAGAAAATTATACAAAGTTTTGTCTCTTCTAAGTGGCCCCAAATGCCCTGGTACGGCCGAGACTGGGGAGAGTCAGCTCTCCCTCTCGAAATGCTCTCACATAGTCACATGCATACAACCACTACCAGGGAAGTCCTAATCACTGCGTTCTAGTGGCATTACTGTTGTTTATGAAACTAAGAGGACGAAAAGTGAATGTCCAGCACTTTAAACCGGTTGGTAGATATGGAGGATTCACTTAGGGGAGTTGGAAAACCCTGATTCCAAACCAATTGTGCACATGGGTTCCAGGATCCTGAGGGAACAACTGGCGTATGAACCAATAATTGGTCACCGGCTACCATGGTACTGCATCTCCTTACGTTGATCCACTGCCTTATGGATTATACGTTTAGGTCAAAGGTCCGGGGTGTGGCCTCCCGGGCACCCGGACAGTATCCCAGCCCTCACACAAATCGAATGATTTATGTGGCTCATATCTGTTTGGTGCCTACTTGTACTAATGTTTTTTTTAAATAAATAATTTTTTCTATATATTTTGAATAAATTTGACGTCACTTCAGTATTGTATTTTGAGTAGCCGGTTGTAATGTAAAGGCAAATATATATGCAAGATATTGATCAGAGAGCTAATCGAAATGTCTTGGAGTTGGTCCAGAGGCAATTCAGGTTTTGGCATAAATGTACATCGATCCAAACTACGATAATATATCATCACCAAACGGAAATTGATATCAAATTATTAGTAGAAGTACAGTTCATGTAATTTTAAAAAGAGAAACAAACCTCACAATATATAAACTGTGAAATAATTTTAAAACTCAGGATCTAGGGTAAGAAAAAGGATGGATGTGTCTGTGTTATTTCGACCGACTTTGGACTATATCAACCAACTTCATCAACAATTGGTCATAATAATCACTAAAATGTATGTCACATGTGAAGTAGTTCGAATACTTCACTTGAACCGGACGTTTGTGATGTTGATCAGAAAAACAATTAAAGCTCTACGACTAAAGCATCCACTTGAGCTACAAATCTATTCCATCATCTTAATTAAGATCTAAGTCAGTCAGTCAGTCAGCTACAACGTAGGACCAGGCACATATGTGCATCGGTCCACGTTGCCATACCTCATTAGCACAGCAAGATGAACACCGGATTCATAGGAGTGGTTAGGTCAAAGGTTGCAATAAGGATATAGTATAGGAAGAAAGAATTAGTTCGTAGAAAGAAAGATATGAAGTGATTTTAATCTCTTAGTTTAAGGGAAGACAGGGAGTGTATACACCGACGCCATTGTGATCGATTCTGAGCCATGTCACCAAGAGTCTCCAACCATTGGTTACGAAAGTCACGCAGACCCCAACCAAGTAGTCTGCATCTACCAACATGGCTCAGACTAGAAGTTAGTGACTTCAGGCACTGATGCCACGTTTTGGTTTGGCCGCCCCTAACTTTCTTCCAACCATCTAAAGTTGTTCATAATCGTTTTGAGCAAATTCATTTCGACAGAGACATTGAGAGAGGTCGTTAACATAAAGCCTAGGAACGATGTGCGTTGACTCAAATCGTTATGTCTCATTAGCACGAATAGATGAAAATAACAAACGATATAAAAATACTGTGATAGTAATTATAGCAAGGTAGACTGAACCGTAAAATATGACTTGAAAAGACAGATTGGAAAGGTTTGTAATTCAAAATTGAGGGCAGGTAAAAGGTGAATGTATTTGTGCCAATGTGAACGATTCAAAGTTGTGTCACTCATTGTCTCCAACCCCTGATCGCGGTTACTGCGCAGAGCCTTACCAAGTGGTCTGCATCTACGTACATGACTCAATCTGATAGTCAATGGCTTCATAGGCTGGTACCATGTTTTAGTTTGGTCGGCTCTAGCTTCCTTGAAACCAACTGCTGCACCAGCAAGCACTAGTCGTCGAGGTTAGTGACGGTAAGACATACGTAATAGAAGTCATAAGCATATCGATCGATGAAACATCATTACCTCGTCAACCGATGTGTCACATCTGCCAATTACCCCATATATATCCTTAAGATTACTCACTCCAAGACAATAGATTTCAATAACTCTGACAAGATGATGTAGGGTAGAAAACATGTAACGGTTCATCTATTAGATATCTGTTTCACAGATGGGTGAAATACAACTAAATTGGATATTCAAACCTTAAGGTGCAATGATAATTGAACCTACCAATACTATAAATCGGAAGCATAAACTACACTTTCAAATACTCTTATTGACCAACAGAATATATTCTCAAAAATATTTCAAAACAGAAGATATTTTGACAACTAGCCGACTCATAAGTTAATATACATAGATTTAGATACAGTTGATAAACAAACTAAGTGTAACACAACTTACAGGTAACCAATTGAACATTTGTTCCAATGCATAATAGACATTATCTCTGTTCTCAGTTGCAGTAAATGTTAGTAAAGTATGCATAGAATATCTTGTAGATATGCGAATAATTAACGAATCGGAAAATAACAAATCTTGTAACATATCTGCACCAGTTAATTGATAATTGTAATCATACTGATAAGAATGTGACTGAAGAACAGAAACAGGTGGATGTCGACGATATTGACGTGAATGTTTACGATGATTGCTACCACGACGATCACGACAACTACGGTAACTATCTACTGTTGAATGATTCTGTGATAAACAAACTAACATTTTATATGATAAAGGGTACTTTAAAAATGTACGAAATTCACTATGTGGATACAGACATTGATACCATGGAATACAGTTTAATGCTTCTATGATTACAGAACCTTGAGTTTCACCACTCCGAAAAGAATTAAAGCATTGTTCATGAAAGTTAGAATATAATAATTTTGACAAATTTCTATCTTCAATATCGTTGGAATCACTATTATTACTACTACCACTACAACTTCTACTACTACTACTATGACTACTACGACTATTATTACTGCCACTACTAATATTCTCATTATTAGATGAAGAACTTGACGATGATAATGAGTGTAACTGGTGAACAGAAGATAATGTTGACGATGAGGAAGATGATGACAATGTAGATTCACACGATAATAAAGATATTGCCGATGAAGATAAACGAGTTGAACTGGATAGATTATTAGTAACTGTTTGTTCGGTATCATTAACAGAAAGGATATCTTCATTGATATTTTGAAATTTATTTTCAGTTAATACAAGTTGAGAGAAGGATTCAACTGACAGATCATTTTTCAGTGAAGCCAATTCATCTATAAATGAAAAGAAATTCAAAATAAAAATTATCCAGAATATATATATGTCTCAGGATCGATATTCTGTCGGATTGTGGATCTGCATTGCTAAAGAATCACAAACTAAGGTGAAACAACTATCCAACGCTTCCTAGTTTTTAATGATTTCCTAACAAAGTTTAGTCTGTGACTAAAACTATTACTTACTTACGCCTGTTACTCCTAATGGTGCATAGGCCGCCGACCAGAATTCTCCAACCCACTCTGTCCTGAGCCTTCTTTTCTAGTTCCATCCAAAAGGTCATATGTAATACTAGAATACCTTTGTCTTCTATACATAAACTAAGCCATGAAATATTGCTTCTGCCTTCTGCTTTTCAGTTCAGTGTTAAAAAGTGGATTTCCGAGGAATTCATGTATGAAAACGCATCGAATTCTATGTATAAAAACGTGAACTTTGCGTATTATTATTTATTATTTCAACACATAAATATCGGTACAAGAGGGCACCAAATATATATGCGCCACACCATATTTGTGTGTGTGGGCTGTGATACTGCCCGGGTGCCCAGACCGAAGCAGGGAACTTTGGGTAACCATATAGCATCATTATTATAAAAGTTAATGAGTTTTTTTCAAATGAAGTTAATTAAAAGTCAAACAAAATAATAAAATTCTTAAGATTTTGATGGAGATTTCTTCTCTGAGCTGGATGGTTTGGTGCTGGAGCTTTCAGGTAAACGTTTACCTGAAGTTTGTGCTGATGTCGTTCAGAAGAACGATGAAAGCTCCATCACCAAACTATCTAGCTCAGAGAACAAAACTGAGTCAAAATCATCCACCTGAGCTACAAATCTTCTTCACCATCTCAATAAAATTCTTACCTTCTAATAAATTATTCTCTTGCACATTATTTATACCTGTACATGAATAAAGTTTATCAATACGATTAGGTTTCATACTAAAATCTTTTAAATATTCCATTGAATTTTCACAACCGTATCTTGTTTGCCATCCAGTTAAGAATAGGTTTCCAAAAGTATTATTTATACTACTTTTAAACCAGTAACTTTTCACTTCATTTATGGATATCTAAGAAATATAACAAAAATGATTTCACTAGACTAAATGTAAAAACAGTAAATTTCTAGATAAACTGATGAATGATACAATTGAGAATGAATGACTATCATTTAAAACATGAATACACAAAAAATCAACATCTTTTAAGATGTGCTTATTATAAGTACACCTCAATTGTGATGTACATCATTCACCAGTTTATAGGATCAAGGCTTGATTACCATATTGACTGGCCACTTACATCAAAGATGTAGACTATTGGTTTCTAGTCGAGTAGTGACTTACTAGTTAGGGCGTTTGAATTTTAACCTCCAAATTAAAGATTCAAGTCTTAATTCAACTATTTTGGAGTAGATCCCGGATAATAACATAAACGCTTACACATAAAGTGTAGCTTAAATCTAACCAGTACACGAATCTGTACTTAATAACTGTGTTATATCAACGAATTCTCGTACAATATTCTGAGGGTAACGTACTATCTAAATAATTTACCGCCAAATGTAGATGAAACGTTCAAAAATCTATCTGAATAGTACGAAATGGATAAATTCTTTACTTTTGTTTAAATTCGAGATTGAATACTACATTTCATATTTTTAACTATTTGGTTACGCCAATACTTTGTGAATTACCTATTTATCTAATTATTTCTCAATTTATTTACCTTACATTATGGTAAATGTTGATGTTAAGTATCATAACTCAAAATGATTTATATTTGACACGTGAAGTTCTAAGTTGTCTATGAATAACTGACTAAATAAACTTGAATAAGAGTTTGAGAAATTGAGCATAATGTGCATCTATTTAATTCATTATTATGTCTACAGTTGTTGATATATCAATAAGGTGAACTTTTTTCTATTTGAAAGATGATTATTTCAATGCCAATTTGGTCAGTCAGTCAGTCAGCTACAACGTACGACTAGGCACATATGTGCATAAGTCCAAGTTATCATACCGCATTAGCACAACAAGATGAACACCGCATTCATAGAAGCAGTTAACTCAATGGTGTAATATATAAAAGAAAGATTGCATATGAAGATATAGTACAGGAAGAAAGAATTAGTTCGTAGAAAGAAAGGTATGAAGCGATTTTAATCTCATAGTTTAAGGGAAGACAAAGAGTGTATAGACCTACACCATTGTGATCGATTCTGAGCCATGTCACCAAGAGTCTCCAACCATTGGTTACGATAGTCACGTGGACCCCAAACGAGTAGGTTGCATCTAACAACATGGGTAAGACTAGAAGTTAGTGACTTTGTGAACTGATGTCACGTTTAGGTTTAGCCACCATCCAACCATCCCCAACACTATTCAGCATCGCGCATCGTGGTAATCGGTGTTCAGGCATACGTAACACGCGGCACAACCATCTCATCAACTGATTTACCATCATTCTCTAATACCCTGCGTCTAACCTCAATATTACTTACCCGGTTATCCCAGCAGATACGAGCAATATTTCTAAGGCATCTGTGGTCAAATACTAGTAGCTTACGAATATGTTCTACTCTTAATATCCATGTTTCGTAGCCGTAAAGTAAAACAGAACGAAATGCTGAGTAGTATACTCGTCCTTTTATTGATAGACAAATATCTCACCTTCGCCACAGGTGATGTATTTTGGCGAATGCCAACATAGATCTGACATTATTACAACTAGTCAGTTATGAATTGGAACAGGTTGAAACACTTAAAATGAGTACATTAAGGAAGTTACCAAGGTGAAAATGAAAATAATATTTATTAAATAGTAACGAAAAACTTTGATAATAAAGTATAAAATAAGGGAATAAATTTTAGAATAAAATGTAGTTTAATTTATAACTTAGTTACTTACAACCTGGATGGAGTTAGTGTTTTATTCTCAGCAGTGTATTTCATATCAAACAGCTCAATGTACAGAAGTAGGCAGTAGGACAACATGTGTAACATACGGCTAGATCACCTCAGTTAAAGAAGGATTACAGTCTCATCATTCGATTACATATCACCATGCAGTAGTATTAGCGCAATATAGATTGACATAAATCATGTTCCATGAAGGAGTGTTAGGGCGGATAACTGGAGACTTTAGAAACTCTTTGACTAAGAAGTATAAATATACTAAAGTTAAAGATGCCCAAGACCAAACACTCTTGGAATGTATGCACGACTTCTAATTTAAAAGGTCATATTCTACAGACACCGATTGTAATATGCTGATAGCATAATAAATGAGAACAGGAATTCACGTGCCTTTCGGTACTGCATGTATGAATATACATACAATAAGGAATGTCAAATAAAAAAATAAATGGAAAACCAGCATAGAATATCCATTTAAATATGTCTAATCTGCAATAACGACTTCAATTTTAGACAAATTTCATAGTTAAGTGTTCGTATGCGAACTTGGCATCAGAGAGAGGGGGAGAGAGAATAATGTATCCGAGACCAGTTATCACTGAGCTTCAAGCTAAAGAAATGTAAGCCCTATGTGGAAACCTGCTTGAACAACTGGGCTACCTGTTTTTGCCATCTAGATATTTCAACAATTTATCTAATTTTGTTTGTTTCAATACGTCATTATGGCTATTAAACTCGTAAACTATTCAGGTGCGTTTCTGAAAAGTGCACAACCTTTCGTTGAACAAGTTACAAAAGGTCCAATCAGATATCGTGGTTGCTAGTAATATGCAGCGAAAAGAATGTACAATATTTAGATGTCGATTGACTGGACTGCAAACTTCTAACTGGCGATCACTCATTATTTATCGTCAATATCGACCAAGAAGTAAGAAACGGAAACTTGTTGAAATTTGTGCTGAGCGTTCTATATTTTACCAAAAATATAATATTGAATAAAGCTAATAATAACATTATAATAATTCAACACTTTGATTAACTCACACTTCATTTCGAGTTTGCATGCCGTAAATTTAGTTTTATTGAATATTGAAAAAAAAGCAAACTAACAAGCGTTGAGATGATGTTATTGAATCGCCGTAAAATATTTCCAAGTATAAAAATAAATACACATTGAAATGGAAAGAGATAAGCAACTTACATTAGATACAATCGTCAACTGTGCAACGTGTAAAGCGTGTAAAAGTAGAAAATAATCTCCACCTAGTACAGGATGATTTGTACTACTAGTTAATTTATAAGTATGAAGTAGTAATTTACAAACATATTCAATATTATGCTCTGAATTATCAACAACATCACCATCACTATCAGCAGTAGCATCAAGATTTCCAGCAGTATTTCTTTCTGTTATCATCTTCGCTGCAGTAGTGGTAGTACTAGTACTATCTGATACCGACTGTACCAATGATAGTGGATTTTGTTGTAAAGAATTAGTAAATGAAAAATCATTCCGACAGGAACTAGGATCTTTCACAGCGACTGTCAGAGAAATTAATAACTGATAAAATGATGACCTTTTGAATACATTACACATATAGTCTGATATTGAATCTAGGTTATACAATACTAGTGTATTAGCTGTGCTAATAAGTAATACACGAATTATTCTTAACAGCCATAGACGTATGTGATAGAGTAGTTTCCAATGAACTGTTGTGTCATAGAAAATAATCTGATTGTCATCATTTTTATTAACAATACTAACAAAAGATGAAAGCGCGAGAGAAGAATAACGGGAATCGAGTAAATGATCATGGGATAAAGGACGTTTTCTTTCATTCTTATCACAGTTAATAATTTTATGATTTAATGATGATGTAGGAGTGAAGGAGGATACTAAAAGTGGAGACGAAAGAAGTAGGTTTAAGGCACCACCACGAAGTAGAAGCAGCTAAAATAAACAAGCAAAAAACAATCATTTCAATAATTGAAAGATATAATTTGACGATAATAGTACTAATCGTGGACTGATATCACATAGAGAATCATTGTAAACTAAGGAAGACTATAGTCGTCTCAGTTTGAAAATATCCAATTGCCAATCATATTCACAGCAAGAAATGGACTGAGATGGGTTAGTTTAAAGAATAAGTGAGTTAGCACTGAATTAGTACATATTCCCAATTTCAGATGATTTTTTACAACTCTTACTTGACTTGCAATACCTTTCCGTTTCTAATAAAGAGAGTACATAACAAATGTGTTATCTGAATGTTTAATGTACGTGTAGAGATTGCAAGATACAGAGAGACTTTTGACGTAAATGTCGAACGACACCTTTTTAATATTACTTCCTAAAAGTTTCAGGATCCATTATTCATGATAAGCACCACAAACATAAAAAATTATCATTGATCACTACCTCTAATTAATTATCTAAAATCGTAGCACATAATATATATAAATTTATTTGATAAAATACTTACGGTTATAGTTATAGCATCTGACCAATCTGGAATTTGATTAAACAAAACGTTTGTAGTAAAATCTATTGTCCTTGGCATAGTGTTACTACTGATATTCCTATTATTATTATTATTATTATTATTATTATTATTATTATTAATAGTAGTAGTAGTAGTAGTAGTAGTATTAGGAGGAAAAAAACTTTGACAATTATACATATTATTACTACTATTACATGGATTATAAAGTTGACTATGATCTCCATCCAGTTTATTAAAATGATAATGTTTCACTAAACAACTAGGCATCATTAAACAATACAAAACTTGTAGTGTATACAATAATTCAATGTAATTCGGTGTATTCTCCAAATTGATTTGTTTATTATTGAATAAATTAAATACTCCAGTTGATACATTTGGTTTTGTAAGTAAATGATGAAACCATGTTTGTGATAAGATAGCTGAATACAAAATAGTAAAAAACAATGTACATAATAATAGTAATAATAATAAAAACGAACAAAATGTTGTAACTACGTAACTTTCATAACATATACGACAATAAAGTTAGTCATACGACAGAATAATCAGATCCCTAAGCTTCCATTTTCTAAAAAGTGGATTTATTGCTGTAAATATTTTAATGGAGTTTTTGTCCTTTGCTGGATGTTTTGGTTGTGGAGCTTTCATCGTTCTTCTGAACGACATCATCAGCACAAACTTCAGATAGAAGTGAAGTGTTCGAATTTCTTCACATGTGATTCACAGCTTGTCCTATGGACCTCGAAGTTGATTGGTTCCTGTTGACCTTGAACCTTTCATTGTTTACTTCTTTGTTTTGGTTATATCTCCTATTGGTTTGATTTTTTTTCCTAGGTTTGCGCACAATTTTTCTGACTGGTTGATAAATTGGATCGATTTCAAAGTGCTTGTTGATTGCTGATTGACCTGAGTGCCAAGCTTCTAAAAGTTCTCTGGTGTTATTGGAAATTCGTCTATCCAAGATTTCCACAATCTTCCAGTCAAATGAGTGTCCCCAAATGTCCATGTGCATAAATATAAGTGAGGAATTAGAACGCTTCACTTCTATCTGAAGTTTGTGCTGATGATGTCGTTCAGAAGAACGATGAAATCTCCACGACCAAAACATTCAGTTCAGAGAACAAAACTCCATCAAAATCATCCACCTGAGTTACAAATCTTCTCCACCATCTCAAAATCACATGAGCGTAATATGCTGTAAATATTCTTGTTTCAAATTTGTTCTACTTTACTAATTATTAGATTTGTCAGTTGTGTGCACTCATGAGGTTAGATCAAATGCTCAAAATCAGTTGTAAAACGAATAACTAAGAAACCACCACCACCACAAAAGTCAGTATATTTCCTTTCTCGTCTATCTCTGGCCTCCGAAGAAACAAGAAGTGATTAACATAGAATTCATACATAAATTACATTGTGGTAAACAGAGAGATATGATAGGAGAAAGATTAATGGTAAACACTTACGAATGAATATGAATAAAAGCACATCGTTGTCTAAAGACTTTAACATAAACATTCTAAATATTTACTCGTCAAATGTTAACTAAACCTGGATATTGTTTTAATCTTTGGATAATCTGTGTTAAGAGTTTCCAAATGTTATGAAAGTGAGGGAAGAAAATGTTATCACAATTGTAATACATATTCATGAAAACTCTATGCTTACAAGATTTCAGTTATTCATTCAGCTACAGAATTTGGGGAAGAAAAAGAACGGATGCACCTGCACCTTTACAAATGTTTTTGAGCTGTCTTTCAAATTTTATAACCATTAGGTACGATAATCACGCGGACATCAACCAGGTAGTCTACATTCATTACGATGGCTCACTCCAAATGTCAATGACTTCATGGACTGATGCTATGTTTTGGTTTGACGATCCCTAGCTCTCATCTAGCCTACTTCTACACCAGATGACATTGCAGATGAGGTAGGCGGTGGTTGTGCACACTCAACACACGTACTAATCACCTCAGTTGACAAACATTTACCATCTCATCAATCGATTTCTCATTGTTACCTAGTATCCTATTTCTAACCCAAATATTGGTTACTCC